TAAAAAAAGTTCATTGAAATCGGTTGAAATGCAGCGGAGTTATGCATCTTTAAGAGTTTTCACTTCAAAATATGGCAACGTCGCACATCGGCAGCCGAAGGTGAAAATACGGCTCGTGTTGTACACCTTGCTGCTCTGTGTAATTATTTCAACGTAAATTGAACGTAAGGGACCCCTAGTTCGCGAATGACTCAGTGATAACACGCATTCACATTGCGCAAAAGCGCATGTGACCAACTTTGAGCGGTCATATCTCGGGAACTAAACGTTTCCCCGGGATGATCTTGTGCTCGTTAGAAAGGTGAGAATCTGAACTTTCATTTAGACTGGTTTTTGTTTAGATTCCGTCGATTCCACGATCGTGGTAAAATGAAAACTAAATTTTTGTGTCTATCAAAAAATGCTAAAACCGCGTAAGTGCCACTTGAAGCCAAGTAAACCCCAAGAGACTATACATCACTAGAAAGCTCTATCTAAGAGGAACATTTTAAAAAAAAGTTCATTGAAATCGGTTGAGATGCGGCGGAGATATGAATTTTTAAAGGTTTCCACTTTAAAAAATGGCAACGTGGCAACCCGGCGCTTCTAAGCAAAACGGCGACCGGTTTTGGGTGTCTCGGAAGCTACTGTATCACTCCAAGTGATCAAAATTCGAAAATGCCTTGAGGCATTTTTGGCCGTTTTTTCACACACCTCTTTGCAAGACACCGGCTACGAGCTTACCGCAGCAAACGATTCCGCAATCCGAACTTATGGACACATTCCTCTCAATCTTCACCTCGGTCTACGCCGTGATTTTGATTGGAAATTTGTCATTGCCGACGTGGCAACTCCTATAATTTGTTCCGATTTTCTTGCTTAGTTTCAGTTGCTTCCAGATTGTCACAACAAGACCCAGGTGAACAACATCACAGGCCTCAAAACACACTGCCAACCGGCAAATTTCGTTCCATCGAATTACAGTTCAGGACATCCAGCAGCAATTCATGGATATTTACGTACCTACAAAAAGTTGGCAAAAATCCAGATTTGAAATGCTCTTTGGCTCTATTCCTTGGTTTCATGAAAATAAATTGAGTACCTATAGATACCTATTGAGAAGACTGCTCGTTTGCCTTTTTTTCCTGGAGGTGCCTCCACAGTTGATCTTAGGAGCTTTATATATTCATTGCTTAGATTGCACCATGCAGAAAGATTGTGATTGTGTTAAAATTGTTGTAGTTAAAGAACTCAGGTATCCTGATGTCACTTTAGACTCCTTAAGTTGGAAAGCTTACACAGAGAAGTTGGTTGTGCAACTTAGCCCATAAATGCCCAAAACTATTTTTTTTTAAATTGATTTTTTATTTACTTGTTTTTGATGTTATGTAGACAGGGTAAGCACGTGTTGAGGCACAAAACAAATAGAATATATCCCAGACATGGATTATCCTGTGTTGAACACATGAAATTCCCTAATTTACACTAACACTAAAAGTCAAAAACTGCGATGAGTCGCTAACGACCCGATGGGCATACATGGGTTCGGGTTGTCTTTTTTAACTTTGTGCCATTTAAAAAGATTTTTGCCTGTGGATGCACTCCAAAAGATTTACTTGTCGATTTTTTGGTCCAATTGTCCTACTTCACTTTCATTTATGATGGAGCAACTGCAAATTCCCTAAGTGGTGTTATTCCGATGCAAAAGCGAGCTATCAAGATGTTGCCTAAAATACCTAAAACTTATCCCTCTGTTGAAATGTTCAGTCTTTTTAATGTGCCTAATTTTGAAGAGCTATGCTGTTTGTCACTTGTTCAATTGTCGAATTCGTATCTTAAATTCTTATGTGTACCGCTATCATTCAAAGAGCAAGGATGGGGCAAAAGTTTATTGGCGGTGTCATGACCAGGGTAACTGCAATACTTGGAGTATTAGCACATCAAATTGCAATTCTATAGAAATTCTGAAGGATGGGACAGAGAAGTACCTCCATGCTCCCAATGTTTAAGTGAGGGAGATGTTGGCACAACTGTACATGAGAGCACGCGAACACCCCAATGAAGGTGCCACCAATGTTGTGAGAGAGACAGTGGCAAATGAGGAAAATTTGGAGGTACTGGTAAAATTACTCGTGAGAAATAATCTGCAAAACCAGCAAAATCAAACGCGACCACCCCTACCAACCTTGATGGAAGACATCCACATTCAAGGGGCTTATAGACGAACTATGACAGAGCAATGCTTTCTCATGTATTACTCTGGTGCGAGTGGAATTGCTTACCCCAATTTCGGGAATGTTGCTAGGTTTTTGTTAAATTGTGATTTCCAATGTTATGTTTGTAAGTTGTGTCTATATTTAACCTGCCCCCTCAAATTCTTTTTTGACAGCTTTTTCCTTCGTAAAGTTTTGTTTGATGGTGGACTTGTATATGAAAATAAACATTTTTCATTTAATTAAAAAATTCCAACCACCTAGAAAAAAAGTCTGAGGGAAAAGACCAATGTTGACATTCGAATCTTTTCGTGCCAACTTCATAAGTTTTTGGGAGAAATTTCCAAAGTTCTACTGTTTATGAAAAGGAATCACCTGCGCTTCAAACAATAATTTCATGTCAAGGTTGCGGACTAGAATGATCAGTGATATCAAATACAGTTGCTTCTTCATCATCATCTTCATTATCGAGCGGCATCATTTCAACATCTCCCGTTGAGGTCACTATTCCATAGCGGCGAATTCTGGTTGACTTCTTTGAACGAAACCTGCAGTGACAGAAAAGGTAACAAACTTGCCAAAATTAACCATGTAATTTCAAACAGTTAGGGAGAATCGTTTGCTGTGAATGAACAGCAAGAAGTTAAAAGCTTATGTAGCATAAGTACTATCTGCTTATCTCTTTGGACTGAGTACATTTCAAGACTGCAGATTTAGAGATAGAGGACATCATGATAAGAACTGCCTACCAATGAGTTATTTCAAAAATTGATTGCTTGGTTTGTTCTGCTACATTAAAAAACGCTCATCCATCATAATATTTCTGCTTTCTAAACGGGTAACTGGGCAATTTTTCTTTAGACTTCCCTATGATAATTCATTAATTCCCATGATATCAGATTTTTTGTTACTTACACTCTACTCTAACAGATTAGTAAGTGAAAAGACCAAAAATGAAACTAGGTCTTTTGAAAAGTGGCATTATAAATACATATTAATAAGCTGAAACCATCATCATGCGGATGCGGGTGTTTCAAAACTCAAACTTTGTTAAAAATCAAACGTACTAAGATGTTAAACATGCAATTCGACAATGTAAGTCGGCAATCACATCTTGGCTTGCAACCTCGCAGACTTCCTGTCATACTTTATTTTTTAAAGGAAAACTACTCAACGGCAATTCTTTTGGACTGCCATGATTTTTCTTCTCTGTGCGAAGAAAATTCTGAATAAACTTCAGGGAATGATGTCAATTTATTCTCCTTTAAAAAAATAGGCGGAGATTTGTAGATGCCACAAACGAGTTATGTGATTGCCGACTCACACCATCGAATTGTTCTTATTTCTTCCTCCCTAAAGCCCAAGTAGCATTTTTCAACATAAAAATTGATATAATGTATCAATTTATAGGTATAAAGTTGTAAAAAATATTGCAATAATATAGCTATAAAGTAGCAATTCTCAGTCAACATTTGGACGATTTTTCCTGATTTCGTCAGGTCAGATCGATAAAAAAATCTATACTTAATAGCAATGTCATTGCTATTTGTGGCGGTGCCAAATGGTTTTAGGAAAATTGAGGAATTTATCAGTCTACCCTAATTTTTACAACGTTGCAGAATCCATTCGAAAATCAGATCTTGCCGTAATTGACAAGAAATTCATGATCCAATCATTCAGCACCCTTTAAATTCTTCTGTCCGAGGCGGAATTAGAACGCGCAACCTTCGGATTACTGCCGTGCGCCGCCTTTACCGTTTGAGCTAGCCAGGCTACCTGTCGGGTGACTCACTTTTCACACATTATATAGCTCCGACATGAAACGAAACCCTTACCGGCGCATTTGCATTAAATAAAAAATTCAAAGAATTAAAAGTAACAAAAACAGAAACGAAATAAAAGGAGGAAAGAAAGGCATGAAAGAAGTAAAATTAAATTTCCCAGAACTTGGTTAAAAGCATAGACGATATTTATTTTGATTGACTGGAAATTCAAACCTTTTAAAAAAGCATTGAAATTTTTAAAGTTTCAGATTTATCGAGTTTGAGCTATTTCGAGAAGACTAAATTGAGGAAAAATGGTTGTTTCATCAAATTGTTGCGATACATTCCTGCATTCATGCTAGAGATTTGAAAACAAGTTACGGAAAGGAACACGCGGGAGTTTTTCATCATACTTAATAGCAAGATTATTGCGATAATTTTTGCGCCTTGCAATTAGCAGATTGGCAACAGGTGACACAACCAATAATCGGAATTTATTGCTACATCATAGCAACAATATAGCAATAATTTCCGNAAAACGCCAATGGTTTTTGTAAAAGTTGCTCTCCTGAAAACCTACCGTTCTGCCTATAGTTCCGAATTGCAAAATGCTATCCAGTTGATCTTGGAGCTTTATATATTCATCGCTTAGATTGCACCATGCAGAAAGATTGTGATTGTGTTAAAATTATTGTAGTTAAAGAACTCAGGTATCCTGATATTCACTTTAGACTCCTTAAGTTGGAGAGCTTACACAGAGAAGTTGGTTGTGCAGCTTAGGGTTGTCTTTTTTAACTTTGTGCCATTTAATAAGATTTTTGCCTGTGGATGCACTCCAAAAGATTTACTTGTCGATTTTTTTGGTCCGAATTGTCCTACTTCACTTTCATTTATGATGGAGCAACTGCAAATTCCCTAAATGGTGTTATCCGGATGCAAAAGCGAGCTATCAAGATGTTGCTTAAAATACCTAAAACTTATCCCTTTGTTGAAATGTTCAGTCTTTTTAATGTGCCTAATCTGAAGAGCTATGCTATTTGTCACTTGTTCAATTGTTGAATTCGTATCTTAAATTCTTATGTGTACCGCTATCATTCAAAGAGCGAGGATGGGGCACAAGTTTATTGGCGGTGTCATGACCAGGGTAACTGCAATGCTTGGAGTATTAGCACATCAAATTACAATTCTATAGAAATTCTGAGGGATGGGACAGAGAAGTACCTCCATGCTCCCGATGCTGCCAGTGTTTGGGTGAGGGAGATGTTGGCACAACTGTACATGAGAGCACGCGAACACCCCAATGAGGGTACCACCAATATTGTGAGAGAGACAGTGGCAAATGAGGAAAATTTGGAGGTACTGGTAAAATTACTCGTGAGAAATAATCTGCAAAACCAGCAAAATCAAACGCGACCACCCCTATCAACCTTGATGGAAGACGTCCACATTCAAGGGGCTTATAGACGAACTATGACAGAGCAATGCTTTATCATGTATTACTCTGGTGCGAGTGGAATTGCTTACCCTAATTTGGGGAATGTTGCTAGGTTTTTGTTAAATTGTGATTTCTAATGTTATGTTTGTAAGTTGTGTCTATATTTAACCTGCCCCCTCAAATTCTTTTTTGGCAGTATTTTCCTGCGTAAAGTTTTGTTTGTTGGTGGACTTGTATATGAAAATAAAAATCATTCATTTAAATAAAAAATTCCATCCACCTAGAAAAAAAGTCTGAGGGAAAAGACCAATGTTGACATTCGAATCTTTTCGTGCCAACTTCATAAGTTTTTGGGAGAAATTTCCAAAGTTCTACTGTTTATGAAAAGGAATCACCTGCACTTCAAACAATAATTTCATGTCAAGGTTGCGGACTAGAATGATCAGTGATATCAAATACAGTTGCTTCTTCATCATCATCTTCATTATCGAGCGGCATCATTTCCACATCTCCCCTTGAGGTCACTATTCCGTAGCGGCGAATTCTGGTTGACTTCTTTGAACGAAACCTGCAGTGACAGAAAACGTAACAAACTTGCCAAAATTAACCATGTAATTTCAAACAGTTAGGGAGAATTGTTTGCTGTGAATGAACAGCAAGAAGTTAAAAGCTTATGTAGCATAAGTACTATCTGGTTATCTCTTTGGACAGAGTACATTTCAAAACTGCAGATTTAGAGGTAGAGGACATCATGATAAGAACTGCCTACCAATAAGTTAATTCAAAAATTGATTGCTTGATTAAAAAACGCTCATCCATCATAATATTTCTGCTTTCTAAACGGGTTACTGGGCAATTTTTCTTTAGACTTCCCTATGATAATTTATTAATTCCCATGATATCATTTTTTCGGTTACTAACACTCTACTCTAACAGATTAGTAATTGAAAAGATCAAAAATTAAACTAGGTCTTTTGAAAAGTGGCATTATAAATACTTATTAATAAGCTGAAACCATCATCATGCGGGTGCGGGTGTTTCAAAACTCAAACTTTGTTAAAATCAAACGTACTAAGATGTTAAACATGCAATTCGACAATGTAAGTCGGCAATCACATCTTGGCTTGCAACCTCGCAGACTTCCTGTCATACTTTATTTTTAAAAGGAAAACTACTCAACGGCAATTCTTTTAGACTGCCATGATTTTTCTTCTCTGTGCAAAGAAAATTCTGAATAAACTTCAAGGAATGATGTCAATTTATTCTCCTTAGAAAAATAGGCGGAGATTTGTAGATGCCGCAAACGAGTTATGTGATTGCCAACTCACACCATCGAATTGTTCTTATTTCTTCCTCCCTAAAGGTGGGTGGTTGCTGCATGTATATTTAACTGAGAGCTAATGAAAACATGCTCAAGTTACTGTTATCAGTTGGCATCAACTCACCTCATTGCACGTAGAATAAAAATGAGCAGAATAATGACACTTAATCCAATGAAGATGTAAAATATATAAAATTCTTTGACAGACGCTAAATTTTCAGGGATTGAGCTGAAGTGATTTAGACTTTTGAAAAAGGTGGAATTTGAATGCTGGAAGTCGATTGGAAGACTGATATTCTGTTTTAGTGGTTTTATCACATCTTTATGCACTTCAACAACTACTTTTTTTTCCATGATGGCTGTGGATGAAGTCTGTACGCAATTTCTGTTTCTGTGTGCCTAGCACCTTCCAATCATTGTTCATCGCTCAAATCGTTGTCATTCAAACACTCCTTCGGGGCACATAAAGAATGAGGGAGCGATGCACTATAAAATAATATGTGACAAATCAAAACTGAGTGCGAAGAGTAGAATACTTAATATTGATATTATTTTAAGAACACGAATAAATTCAACAGTACAATAATTAGGCACTGGACGCTGCCAACGCTGCTCTAGCCATGCTTGCTTATCAAGACTTTGCTATGACAATATAAACAAACCTACACAGACAAATTTTAACGCACACCAACACTATACACATGCAACACGTAAATGTCAAAATCAGCTGTTCGTCAAGTTGACAACTTGACAACAGAAATATTATCAGGCCATTACTGAAACGGGTTGTTTTAGTGAAGTACCGATACCAATGGCGTAGGCTCACTGAGAGAGCTCAAAAATTGCTACTTTTCACTTGAAAAATTTAAAACCCTAAACATATCGCCATAGGTTGACTGAGAATGATTTGTACGCCATTGGATTGTTAGATCATGTCGCCAGTTTTGACTGATGAAGTTGGTATCGGGATGAGGAAACAGCTGTTGTATTCAATGTTGCCATGCTCCTCAACACACAATTCACAAACGCGGAATGTTTAGAAATTTCTAAATTAATTACTTGAAATTTGATTTAAAATCTGTACCGCATTATGTTCCGCCATCATTTTTAATCATGCTCAGCGTTTCAATATTCTGCTTTCTCACTCACCGAAACAATTAGTAAGCTCAATTCCTCTGCAATTTCATGGGATGACACACAAACTTGGCATCGTGGCTCATGTAGTTGCAGAAAGTTGTGTTGTTACCAAGTTGTTCCTTATCTTTTATTCAGACCCTCATCATTACATCCCCATCTTTTTACACTCGCAGCCCCGTTTATGTGAAAAATATAGTTGAATAGAAGTAAAATGAGTGAAATTACGTGGAATAATTTGCCAAGTGTAATATTGTACGAAGTGTTCTCCTATTTACCACGGAAAGATATCCTCAACGCCAGTTCAAGCTGCAAATTATGGAGAATTGGATTGCACCATCCAAAGTTGGGGAAGAAAATCAACTTTAAAATTTCAAGTAACAACTCTCAGAGCTTTCTCAGAACGCAATTTCTAACAGATCTGTATGGGCACAGAGTTAAAGCCGTCACCATTACTTTTGATTCCATCGATACTCCATCTGTAGAAATGATGGAAACAGTTTTACGAGCCCTTAGTAGCAATGCAAATTTACAAGAGATCAATTTTGAATCGAGCTACTGCAGCCTTGCATGTCCTGGTACAGACTGCGAATCCGGAATACCTGTTTTAGAAAAGTAAGTTTTCTACTGATCTATTCAATACAATATTATCTCAGCAAATCTTGCCTACATTAGTTATTCATGATTCAATATGGTGCTCCATTGACCTCCTCTTTGTTTCATATATTTAAGTATCTACATTTTCATAAGCATTTTTCCATGATGTCTCCAAAATTTTTACTTTTTTTGCTTTACTACAGGACTTTGCAGACAATTTCTATTTTCTTGATGTGATTTAAGCCTCACTTAAGTTATCCAAATTTTTTTAGAATGTAGGCAATATTTAGCCATCCTATGTCAGCAAGTTACTTTCTGTTCAGACTTTATGCAAGACTCTCTTATTCCTCTTCTCAGTGTGATCCAATTCAAGGATGTGCAGGGTTCTTATTCCAAATTATGGCTTTCAGCCTAATCCTAGCTGAATACCAAAACTCATATCTTGAAACAACTGTCAGTCAAAGAAAGTTTTGATACAGCACAAGGTCATCAGTGGGAAATAGAAAGTGTGTAGACCTTAAACATTCCTCTCTCTCTTTCGTATTTTCGTGAGAATAATCATTGGAATGACATCTGTTTTTTAATTTTCTCTCTTACTAATTGTTTACTAAGGAGATGATTAACAATTCTATCTTGAGTCAATTATGATTTTGTTTAAATCAGTTTTCAGAAGCAGCATTCGCATAATGGGACATATGCATGAAGGAATTAAGTTCTCCTGTATTTTATTGTCTTATCATTAATTTGAGCGAGCAGAAGCTGCGAATATCAACAGTCCCTCTCTTTATTCCTGTCTGTATGAAGTAATCTTCATGCTTTTGCCAGAAACTAATTACACTCCCTGTAAGCACAGGCCTGTCGTGAGACCGCAAGAGTAGCCAGGGCATAGCTTTGGTTTCCTTTTGGATCCTTCCCTCTTGGCTCAAAGTGGTTGTGGAAACATAATCACAATGTTACTGCCATAATCAATGTTGCAGCAATTTTCTCACAACATTTTTCTTATGTTATCTCCGGGAGTCATCGGCTGGGTTATCCTAATCAGCTCCACCCAACTGCAAGAAACTTTCTTTTTGTTTCCTATTTTTTGTGTGCAAACTTATATTCATAGACTCTCAGTTCTATTCATAAGACTCTTCAGTTTGAAGGCTCCCTGATGGCGTGTGGTGAAATCTTGTTTCTCACTTGCTTGTTACCCGGATTCCTTTTGAGTAAGTTGAAAATGGGTGAGACAAGCTGCAAATTGCCTTATCTGATTTTGTCACACTTGTGGATTCAAAGGGCAGCGAGGTAATGAAGAAGATTCATCGCAAACCACTAGGCTCTCTTATCTAAGCTTGTCACTTGATGTCTCCAAGAATACCCTCCTTGATACCGTTTACCTTTTTTTCCTTGGTACCTTTTTATGCACTTTTCTTGATAAAGAAATTCCAATGATTCATTGCCTACTTTTATTCAGTAGGTACTCTAGAGATTTTGATACTGAGATTACGCCACCCTGTTACTAATTTGACATTCTTTACTGTTAGTACAGATAGGTGCAAGTACTGTACTTCCCTTAGATCATGGTGTGCATTTTTACATTTTAGAATTTCCTGTTTTCAGGAAAATAATAAAAAATATTCAAGAAATCATCACAAACAGCCGAGCGTTGAATGTTTTAAATTTTGGCTGCAATGAAGATTTAACACTCCACATTGGCAGTTTCCTAGAACTCTTAATCAAGTTCCAAGCAGAATCAATCAGTACTCTTGGTTTAGCTTCAGTCAAAGAAGATTTTAATGACTACGTTCTACCTGAGCTAGATGTAACACATTTTGCCAGTTTTCCTAACTTGCAGGTTTGTTCTTTCTCATCATTATTTGCATCTCTGAAATTTTGTAGAAAAAAATCTTTCTCCTGAAGGAAGGGAGCATGTGCAAGAATTTTATTTAGTTTTAAATCTTTGATTAACCCAAAAGATAATAGAATTTGTCAAGATCCCTCCCTAAATTTTCCACTTTGCAAATTATCTTGAAATTCATCACTCACCTAGATTCTATAACTTTTCAGATGAGATATTAGAAGGATGCAGAAAAACTTAATCAGCCAAAAAACACAGTAAAATAATTTAATCCAGGGAGGGGCTGCACTAAAATATGTAAAGATTAAAGATAAAAAATTAAATGAAAAAGGTGGTAGGTACATTCTGAGATAATTACAACCTCATTTTCAACTGGGAGAAAGAAAACAAAAATAAGGCCAATACCAATCCACACAGGTCAGTCATTGCGCATCTTCTTGAGATCCACTCCCCCGCCTGGCCCTAACTCGGCGGCACTCAATGCTACGTCACAATGGGTGCTCCCACAAGAAATACATTCCAGGCACTCAATACTACGTCACTGCGCAGTAGAGTTCCAAAACTCATCCTCGGGAATAAGAATGACTGACCTGTGTAGATTGGTCTTGAATAAGTCATCACTTTGCTGTTATCTTGAGATTGAGATCACTTATTATGACAGAGACGTCTCGTTTTTGCTCTCTTCTTTTCTGGTAGAAAATCAAGTTGTAACTATCACGCAACATCCCGGACATTTTTACTTAATTTTTCACCTTTGATTTTATATTTTTTTATGATATTGGGAGGTTAGCAGATAAGATGCATGTGGACTGCAGCCTGGAGCACTGACAGACTCTGAAAACATTCCTAGGTTACGTGAGATATCTGGATCCCTCTTCATAGCTTTGAGCATACCTCTTTCTCCATTTCGTTCTAACAATACCGTATGGTGAGCAGCAGCAATAATTGAGTCTGTCTGGCGGCAAATGTGACCATTTTCACAGTATGCAACTCTTCGGCTTAGGTGTTCATAGCCTCCCAGAAATTCTGAAACACAGTAATGCAGTTAGCTTTATTTTCCTAAAGTACATCTAGCCAAGCATTTTCATTAGATGTGCTTGTAGTCAGTTTTACATAATTTGATTTTTTACAAAAGCTGATTTTAGTGCTATAATGCTTCAGTTTCGTTTGTGAAAAGATATGAAGTGTTTTGCCTTGAAGTATGACAACTTTTGATCCTTGATTTTCAGGTTCTCAGTGTGGACTATGATTACATGTGCGATGAATTGTTAGGCTCCTTAAACAAAACCACTGGCCTACAAAGATTAATTATACATGTCCATGGGATTGAAGAAAATCATCCGGGAACTTCTAACCGTGCTTGGGAAACTTTTACACAACAGAAGTATGTAAAGTTTACTATGCTCAATACCCTTTTTTTTAAATATATGTTAAATACTCCATTAACCAAAGTGCCACTCCTCCTGCTATAGTTTTGTATGTTTAGTAACTATTTAGCCACTTAATTGTTGCATCACATTGTATTAAAAAACTTAGGTCCAACTTTCTTTATGGCTCCATTTAGAACAAACAACCTTTTGCCATTGATCGAGTCTATTTGCTCAGCAAATAAATAATTGAAGGAAATCCCAAAGATTCAAATAGGTATTTACAAAATGTATACATTGATGGCTAAATGTGAAAAAGGAGCATCTGCATTGCAACATTTAAAAATATCTAATTCGGTCTCTTTTCTTCAAAGTAAACTAATCACAGCATTTTCTCTTGCAATTTGGGTTGTTTTTTTTTTTATTTGAAAAAGTGAAGGAAAATCACGGAAAATTTCAATAGAAACCAGTAGTTGGTTGTCCTTCAGTAAGTAAAGTACATAGGTTGTCCCAAAAGTACTGCACGATTTTTTCTTATTGACGAACGGTAGTAGATATCAAAATGCGGTTTGTGTAGTCTTAAAGGTCGGCCAATTACCGATAAAACAAGACAAATCCGAGCTCTCTAAGTCAAAAAATGACCAAGTTACAGCGTTTTGAAAATGACCTGTAGAGGGGACCCCTACGGGATTTTCAGCTTCTTTTCTGGAAAAAAAAACAAAGAATTAAGGATTCAAGTGGTTTTATTAAATCAATTTTGCAGAATCTTACCAAGATTACTAGCATTTACTCTTCTTCACTGGATGACTGGACACTAGTTTCTTCTCAAAATACCCTCCATCACTTGCCACACAGCGCCGCAACCGTTCTTCCCAATTCTTCAAAGATGGTTTTTTCGAATTCTTCTTGCCTAATGTTCTTTAAGAAAGTTTCAACAGCTCTTTTCATCTCGTTGATGGAGTTAAACTTCCTGCCTCTTAAGCCCTTTTTCAACGTAGGGAATAACCAAAAATCGCAAGGTGCAAGGTCCGGGCTGATATCATGTTACCAACTTCATTCAATCGCGACGATTTCTCTGTAGAATTTTTGATCAATCAAATCTTTGTTTTTTCCAGAAAAGAAGCTAAAAATCCTGAAGAGGTCACCTCTACAAGTCATTTTCAAAACACTGTAACTTGGTCATTTTTTGACTTAGAGAGCTCAGATTTGTCTTGTTTTATTGGTAATTGCTTGGTCTTTCAGACTACACAAACCGCATTTTGATATCTGCTACCGTTTGTCCAAAAAAAAAAAAAACAATCTACTCTTTGTTTTTTTCCAAAAAAGAAGCTGAAAATCCCGTAGGGGTCCCCTCTACAAGTCATTTTCAAAACGCTGTAACTTGGTCATTTTTTGACTTACAAGGGGAGCTTCCCAAGTGTAACCGGAATTTCGAGTTGAAATTTCGCATGAAGATACTAGAGATGATTTTAGGGATGCCGTATTTTTCCGTTTTTTCGAATGGGGTCGGGAAAGCCCTCAAAAAAAGGGCTAAAGATGCGGAAAAAACGCGTGCGCTAGCGGCACAAGGTAAACGTAGGTGATAGAGGCGCTGCATCCTTATCAGTACCGCATGGCCAAACGGTAGCGCGCTCGCCTCGCAGGCGGGAGGTACTAGGATCGGATCCTGATTACAGCTCGTAATTTTATTTTACTTCATGCTTGTTTATTTTTTACTTACTTTATTTTGCACCACTCGCTCCGCAAACCGACTTAGGAGGTAGAACACGTAGTGACTGAAGATTTTTTACATATGCTGTTATTCGAACTCGAAGTTTCTCTTGGATTGAGATAACGTCAGATACAGATACAGATTCGACTGATACTCCGGAAATTTACCTTGGCAACGAAATTTGGTGAGTTTTAGAGTGTTTTGTTTGTTCAATTATATATAACGTTTCAATCCAAGAGAAACTTCNTACACAAACCGTGTTTTGATATCTACTACCGTTCGTCAAAAAGAAAAAAACGTGCAGTACTTTTGGGACAACCTATGTATGAGGGAAGATTTGCATCACTGCCATCTAAGATCTGCAATTGTTTGCATTTAGCCATCAATATCTTTATTGTTGGCTGAAACTTCTCTGATATCGTTATCATCATCAGAGTACAAATATTAAGCACATACCAACACCTAAGTATTTGTTTTAGTAGTGACCCAGATATGTAGCAATAGTCAAAACAGTGAATGCGTGTAGCTAGTAAAGGCATTTCTCTTATATGACTTTTGAAAAAAATTTAAATCGTACGACTTAATCAGTTCCGGTTTTATCATTTTAATACCCCAATTTCATCTCAGAAACTTCATGAATTCTTTGGTAAACATGGGTATTAAGGCCTGCGGTGCTGCTGAGATAATTATATATATATATATTTTTTTCAACCATATTTAGTGTGTTTTACTCAACTGCCCATTTCTTCAAAAATTATAATTTCGGGAACCATAACTCCAACTTAACTAAATATTTTATTCCCTTTCTGCAGTTCCAAATGCGAGCTCAGTCTAAATCTGATTCATGCTTACGATGCTGTAGAAGTGTTGCACAACGGATTCCTTCAACCCGCCATGCCATTGACTCATCTTCGCGTGTTCTTCTGTGAGCAGGTTTGTTGCTGTTAAAATTAGTGTTGTTTTGAAATGATTTTTCCCATCCAGAGAAACAAATAACCAAATGCCTTAACGAAGATCAAAGCAGACTTGACTATCCCTGTTACAGTGAAATCACCCATGTATCGAAGATAATGAAGTATTAAAAAAGATAGAATAAAATTTGCAAGGCATTCTGACCTATGTGCTATGATGTACTGGCATTTTGTGCATTCTGTCTGAACATAGAATTCTCCTTATAATTCTTTAAAATAGATTTGTACTTTAAGTTTGAATTACTTGCATTAAAAAGTTTAAATGAGCTCGGTGTCTACCATCAGAATTTTACTGATTCTATCAGGATTTGAGGTCAATCAGGATTTAATCCCAATTTCATCAGGACTTGAGGAAAAATTGGTTGTAAAATTAGGATTTGAGAAAAGTTGGTCATACGATCGGATTTTTTTATCGAGCTATTTTTGTGAAGTTACATTCGCCTACTTTTTCTCAGCAAAAAGTCAGGATTTGATCAGGATTTGGATAAATTATGAAATCATGATTAAGCAGCAAAAAATTACAAAAAATCAGGATTTCCTCAAGTGAAAAGAAACTAGACACCCTGATGTGCCTGTAGAGTCTTAAACATGATAAAATTTACAGCAACTTCTCATTTGCCTCCTGTATCGCTTATTTTGATAACCAACAAAAAAAATCATGTTCATGAAATATTCCCTCAAGTTTGCTGTTGTGGAGAAAAATTCAAGAAATTTTTTGTGTACCTATAAATGTAATTTTTGTGAGGGATTGAAAAAGGCAACACTAAAAATCGCAAAGCATTTTGCAGACCTTCGGATTAAAAATTTTAATCAGTTTTCATTATTCATTTTTCAGCTGAATGCGCCTGCCATTCATCAACTCTCCCGCTTTTCCAACACGTTGCGCACTTTATGGTGGGTAGACTCTTTCAATTCATCCCACGCTGATGTTTTAATCGAACCAAATGATTTAGATGAACAACCTGAGCTAGGTGTGAATCCTTTCATCATAGCAGCATGGCGATGTTCCAAACTCACAGAATTAGTTGTTCATGGTAAGCTTCCTGTCACTCTTTATATCTTTATTAGAAGGAATCCCACTCTGTGAAAACAGGGTATCTACTAAAATTTGTAAAAAAGAATCAACAAAGTTTCCGAGTGGTTCCTCCAAACCACTGGAAAATGAAGCACCCTGTATAGGAGAAAAATTGAGTACTCTTTAGTGGCTATCATCTGAACTAACACTCACAAAATGGTTGGCCTAGCAAACTTTGCCTCCGTTACCAACCATTGCAGATTTGTTGATCGCTTAACTCTTGGCACAACAACTTCAATCAATGGTATAGGTAACATTAAAAATTCTGAATCTCTCTTGTATATGATATACTTACACTTTTAATAGTACATATATTCAACTTAACCACTGCACTTATACTTTACTGTAATATACTTTTCCAGTACAGTAAAACTTCGATATAACGAACGTCGATATAACGAGTTCTTCGAATTAACGAATTTTTTTCGCGGTCCCGAAAAAATCCCCATCTTTTTCATGTAAAATAAATTCTATATAAAGAATTTCGGTACAATGAATATTCGCTTTTACGAAGGAAATCTTCGGTCCGAGTACAAACTTTACCATGCAAATCGAACTCGATTTAATGTATGCACGGGACTTTCCGCACACCCGGCAACACTGCTGGGGAGAAAGCATGCTTGTGTCGGTGTCGGTGCAGTGTCAGTGCAAAGGTCATTTTCTGATATGGCGGGATTGGGGATTTCCGAGGCGCACATGTTTCCTCGAGTAAATGGGGTGATTAAGGAGCTACGTGAACAGTGTCATCAGTGCGATTTCAACCCCTGCCGGTTGCTCATCACTACCACTGCACAGTTTTACTGATCAAATGCTAACCGGGTGTTTCCTGCCGATTTTCCGTAAAATGCCGTCATAGTTTAAGAGGGGCAGGGGGAGTTGTACCCAAAACTGGAAAAAACAGAACTTTTAAAAAAAAATTGTGGCTTAAAACCGGGTTTTCTGCGGTTCTGGATTTAACAAATTTTTTCGCCAGTCCCCAAAAATTTGTTATATCAAAGTTTTACCGTATTTGAACTGAAAGGATTCAGGAAGGCTCAACAGTTAAAAACAATTTAGGCTCACAATCTTTTCCTTCTGATGCTGCTTTCTAGCTAATTTATTAGTAAAAGACCATTTTAGTGCATTTATGCCTAAAAAAAAAACTATATGAAAAAGCACTTTGAAGCAAGTAAATCTTATCAAGTCAATCTTACAACTTTTACCTCGAATGTGTCCATTTAATCCCATAAGAAAATTATGTATGAATTATCTATTTTTTCTCTTTTTTCAACAAATTTTTTTTTTTCAAACGAATTAAATTTACAAAAGTATTAAGGAAAAGTAATGTTTGATAATAAGTACAGATTATTTAGAAGAGCAGGAATTATAGAATTCTCTGTCTTTTGTTTTAAGAAATTAGGCATATAAGATCACTAGTTTAATTACGTATTTTTCCCTATCTCTTCTGTATCATATTTTTGTATTATAATTTGCAGGCTATAAAATGTTAGCAGAAGATGTTGTTGCTATTTCAAGATTAAGGCAGAGTTTGAAAGTCTTCAAGCTACCTGAGTCAGACATAGTGTTTTTCCCTATGAATCGTGTACCTCTCCAAGAAGTAGAAAAGGTATGTCTCCAAAATTGTATTTTGAAATTTGATTTATTTGAATGAAATGGGAGTAGAATGCTATGTTTTTATTGCAGCAGTCTGATTGAAGCGAGCCCTATGTATGAATTACTATTGGTCGTAAGAAAGAAATCAAAACTTACTATCATGGTTCGTATCGAATGATGTTTGGTCTTTTTGTTTTTTGTAGGCAGCATCTCATTGAAAGTGAATGGCTGCGCGAAGTTGAACTGTTGTCTCTAGCAATGTCCATCAATTTAGGTATTTCCCCAATGCTGCAACTTCTGTTTTTCATCTAAATTTCCAAAATAAAAAGTGTCCAAAATTGATTCAATCAAGCCCCTAAAAACAATCAAGATTCTGTGAGTACATTCAAACCCAAAGGCTAATTCATACTCTCTGGCGCTCTGCAACACCTAACCGCCACAAAGCTCGGTCCTCCCACAAGTCATCAGGGAGTTGGCACTCCCTCATCGCATTCAAAACTCCCTGTCCCCACCCTTTCACCGGGCGTCTTCTTCGTCTCCTCAAGCATCTTTTTTGGCAGCCTCTCTTCCGTCATCCTGTTAACATGACCGCACCAGACAAGCTGTTTGGTCATGCCATCAAAAATGATGTAATTTTCAACTTCCATTATCTGATGCACTCTATCATTACGGAACTGATCTCTCCAAGAAATTCCTGCTTACCTTCTTCAGAAATCCATCTCCGTTGCTCTTAGCATATTTTGTGTCCGTTTCTTCAGCTGCCAAACTTCACATCTGTAGGTTATTATACTTTTAACTACAGCAATGTTAATTCTCCTCTTGTTCACTTTGGAAATCTGCGGATCCCAGAGGACTCCATTTAACGTCACCATAGCCTTCCTTGCCAAGGTGTTTCTTTCCTTGATAGCTTGATCCGTCTTTCCATCCTGGGTCAACCGCATTCCCAAGTATTTACAATCTGCGCAGCCTCCGATCTGCTGCCCATCCTCCAACTCAATGCTTTGCTGATCACCTCCTGGAGTCATTCTCTCAGATTTGGATGTACAGACTTCCAAACCCCACTTTCAATACTCCTCTACAAACTTATGCATCATATGCGCAGCGCCATCTTGATCTTAAGCAACCACCACCTGATCATCAGCAAAGCACAGAGTGAACAGAGTTTCAAAATCACCCAAGGGGACACCCATACTAGAAAATTTCCTTTTCCATTCTTTTAGCACGCACTTTAGATATATTTCAATTGATTTGGCGAAAAACAACATCCCCATTTTAAACCCTTCGTCATATAAAATCCTAGTGACAGTCCCCCATGACACTAAATTTTGGTGAAACTCCCTTTATAAAATTGCTTGAGGTGCCAATCAACCCCCCCGTTAAAATTTGATTTTTCCAAGGTCTCCCAAAGTTTCACCAATGGCACACTGTCATACGCCTTCTGAAGATTCATAAAAATTATGCCATTCACAGTTGGGGTCTGCAGGATTACTAAACCTGTGACAACAGTCCCCCATACGGCGTGGCTAATTCATATAAGCCTTTTAAAGTGAAGCAAACTGTCTAACTACGAAATAATCCGTTTTTGTTGGATTCTATCCTCCTAATTTTTTTAAGGGAAACTTAGCTGACACCTTTAAACAGAAGCAAGGTTTTTAAATCATCCTTGTTTGAATGGCAATTATTTTTGCTATAATGTTCTCACTGCTAGTTTTATTAGTCTTTTAATTTGTAATGACTCTCTGTCCTCTTAGGAAGTAACGCAAAACATCGGGCACTCATGGTCAGCAACTCCCGACTCAGAACTGCACTCAGTCATTCTGAATCCAACTGGCGGCGAATCGGATGAATTCATCATACCGATTGTCTCGCAAGATCTGCAAATCTAATCCTGTGAAAACTATCCGTATTCTGTGATCAAAATGAGATAAGATTTTATTTTCAACCATCTATTAGATTTTTAAGCACTGAGTACCTAAAGAGAAGCATTTTATATTTTGTTCGTTGTTTTACCTCCGTTGCACACAATCGTCACTTAAGTCGACCATCTCGTCAATCCATGTTAACGGTAGGATTTAGAGGTTTCAAAGAAGGAGTCTATAAATTGAACTCTACGGATTCATATATAGATGCATATATATTTTTTTAAAATTTTCCTTCCCTTTTTATTTTTAATCAAAATTTGTTTTTGTTTATAAATTCTTACACGTTTCTCTGTGTCATTTACAGTCGTTTTTAATAATCAGTGGTTGTCTGTCATCTCCTTTTCCCAAAAATCTTTCAGTCTTGCCAAATTTAAAGTTTCCTCCATCCGAGTTTACATGTCTGTGAAACTGGGCACCATATTAAGTTATGTGTCTCACTTTGTTGAATATTAAAATTTATTCAGTGAATGACTTCATGAATTCTTCCCGAGCGCTTTTTATCCATTTCTCAAAATGCAGGAAAAAAGGGCGATTATCCTTTTAATATTTTTTTTATTTGATTTCTTTTCCACAACCTTTTGCCAAAGTATTACTTTGTTTCTTCCTCTACACTCTAAAACTGTATCTTTCACTACTGGGTGCTATTCTTTTTCTATTTTTTCAAGGAAAAAGGGGAAAATATTTATAATAAAAACAAATGACAAGAAAGTACAGAAAGAGCAGTAAAACCGTCATATTTTCTGACAGGAATGCAAAAGAGTGCTCGAAAAGCACATACCCGCTGTTATTGGGTTTGTATGTATTGACACACAGTTTTTGTTGTTTTCTAGGTCATTCACTTTTTTCAATTGAATGGAAAAAATTAAAGGGAAATGCTAATCATCATCACCTAGGAAAATATGAAGGTAGCATGTAATGAGCACAACCACTGATTCTGTTTTTAATTTTTTTTTCTCAATTTTATTGCAAAGGAAAAATTTACAACTTGGAAAACATTGTGAAATTTTGTTATGACTGAATTGTATTTTAAATATGCTGAGATGATCAGACATTCATCATTACTTTCATGATGACTGTGCAGGATAGCACCATCTCAAAATGTTTTTTTGTTGTCTAGATTATATTCTAATGAAATGAGAAGGAAATACTTCCTTCAGGTGAACAAAATGGCTCATTTACTCAGGATGTATATCAGCTTAGTAGCGTTGGAGAGATAAAGTCTAGGTTTTTAGGAAATTTTCATTTTTTATAAGTGCTTGTTCTTTTGCCATCTTTTAGACTAAGACTTACCAAGTCACTCTGGATCAAACTTTCCTTCAAAATAAGAATGCGCAGGACACAAAGGTTGCTTCAAATAACTGAAATAGGACTTTTACTCCAATTCTGTGCTCAGTCGTGGAAAAAACTTGACAAAATTTAGGCCACTAATCCGAATTACAATAAGTCACATCTTGACGACGACCTTCTACGAGCATCAGCTTCGATTTTGTCCTTTTACTGGCATCTATTATCCGCTCGTCATGCTTTTTTCTACTCCTATCACAATTATCTTACGATGAGTCATCAATTTGATCACTGGTTTTGATGCCTCAGTTTTGCCTGTAGTATTCTAGTGGCACTAGATGTTCATGGGAAGTGCCTTCTTGACGGAATAGGCGAAGCTTGATGCATAAAGTTCCTTGGGTAGCGCATTATTGTGCATTTCAAACTGAGTTCTTACAGAATAGCGAGCTGAATGCAGCAACCGTACAATACAACACTCAATTGTTGTTCTATGAGCAGTTGCTTCAGAGTTCATGTTGAGTAGTTTTTGTCTCTTGTGTCTTAAAGCAGTGATATTCAAGAAAATCAAAGCTTTTTTGATTCTCTTACTCATGATCAGCGGTCTTTAATTGCCTAATTATTCTGCTGTATTTTCTTTTGCTTTATTTTTTCGAATATCCTCTCATAGAAGTAGAAAAATGAAGAAGATTTGCATGAATTCATGAGAGTCAATTGGTATTTTTCCTCAATCATCAGATGTGGAATTGAAATACGTTCGATGGCACTTGTCATTTATTTTGTATTGTACAAATTCTAGTGACTATAGACAGGCTTTATCCTTCCTTGTTAACTTTCGTCTGTCTTTTAAGCAGAACAAAGTTTTCCAATTTTTGAAGGACTGTTTGTAGAAAAGAAAAGTTATCATCAGTAGTCTAAATTTTTTAAATTAGGGTGTGATGAACAACTTTCTTGTGGATGATATTTGTCTAAATTATAATTTAGACCCAAACTAGTCATGTCACTGAAATTCCAGTCATCGCCAGTTAAACTTTTAAAGTCAAGTCTAGAAGTCTTACATGCAAAAAACTCTATCCGTAATTTGCAACACCACCTCTTTCTGTGTACTAACTACTTAAAATATTTTACAATTTTCTGTTTTATCTCTTCCTTCAAAAATCTTCTAGAATCTCTAGTTGTGTAGTTTTCAAACATTCCTTCTTTTGCCATCGTGTTTACTTCCCATCAGCAGCTATTTCAATTCCACTTAACTCTCATAGGCTGATTTCATTTTGTAATCCAATAGTTATCGAACATTATCGCTCCACTTTCTTGCATTTATTAATTTCCATCTCTATCTTCTAAAATCATCTTGTCTCTCCGATCTTTTGAAGGATGAAAAGTCATGATTAGCTTCTTAGATTCTCTCAGCTTATCCTCTCAACCTTTTTCCTGTTTTGCTCCGTACATAAAAACCCTCCATCCCCATTTTCATTGCTTTTCAAATATATTTGAAGGCTTCTTTCAAGATTCTTTGTTTCATTTTACTATTTCAATCAGATCGGGACCAAACTCACTGAAATTGCTCAACCAACCGTTAATGGACTCCTCCGTTCTCCTCTTCTTCTTCATCCCTAGACAATTCCTAAAACGAAGCCCTGTGAATTAGAATGAAAGATTCTTTAAAAATTTCGATACCGTGAAGAGGACTTAGATAATTGGGATGCCAAATTGAATCTTCCCTGCCTTGATCGGGTCTTTCCGCCCCTTTTTTTACCTCTATCCTGCAGATTGTTAACCTTTATTCTGAGCGTATGACATCTATGTATCATAAAAGCAGTTTCATTGGTATGTCACATTTTCAAAGCTGTCACACCTTGAATTTTCTCTTCCTTAAACTAACGCAGGAAAAAAGAAGAATCGGTTGTCGATTAATTTCTAAATAGTATTTAAATATTTAAATTTGATTTTCCCAAGATCCTGTTTACATACACCAAAAAATCGTTCTTTTAAATTTAACTGTGCTGTGTTACTCCGTTAATGATTCGTCACTTCATTTTGTCTCAAATCTTGTCCTCCCCATACGTCCTTCAATTCCTCTGTCCAGTATGGTAAAATTTAGTCAAATGGGACTGTGCAGAAACTGCTTATGTCCATTTTTTCAGCTTTGAGTTTTTGTGAAAGTAGTGTAAAAACCCATTTTGGGATGGAGGTAACAAAGACTTTACACCTTTTTTATGGTTGTTTCTTATCTAACCTTGAAAAATACTATCATCCTGAAAAAATTCAAAATTGGAAGAATGGATACAAGTGGCTTTCATAAGACCCGACTCAATTTCTCTGCCACCCCAAAATCAGACTTTATCCCCTCATTGACCCCTCATAGTTATCTCCCTCATCCTCTAAAATTTCCTTTTCATGATAATATCAACTAAAAAAAGGATTTCCTTTTGTTTTGTGATGTTTCCGCGGGTCTTTCTTTGAAGAAAAGCGTAGCTACCCCTCTTTTTCATTAACTTATTATTCGGTTCGTTGTCACCATTTTTGCATTGAAATAATAATAGGGCTTAACTGATATTCTTGGTTGTATGCATCTGTACGATGTTAAGCGTTTGTTAAAATTTCCTATTGTAGTTTAGGGAAATTTAATTTTTTTACGTCACTCTTTTTAGCAATCAAAGTTTCTATGCATCTTAATTTAAGTTACTGCAAAAGTATTATGTTTGGTAGGCTTCAAACTCGTTGCCGATTCTGCCAACAAACAGTTTTGAAAACTGTAACCATCTGTGATGTAACGTTATATCGTATTCCAAGTTATCCTGCAAGGACACCATGTAATCGTGTCTGATCATCTTACCAGCTGATTATTTCTCCTAAAATATCTGAAGATTCAGTGATTGTTTTATTGTTGTTGCGAAACATGTTTATGTACCCTCGATTTTTCTGTTTTCGCCTCTTCATTTTTTACGTTTTTCCCGTTTTTTTTTAGATTTTTATTATGAAATTCGAAAAGTTTTTCAATTGCAAAAGAGTGCATTTCAAGATTTGATAGTGGATTTACTGTTGAATTACAAAGCTAAAGAACTTGTGAAATGGTTTATCAAACGAATCAGTCTTAAGGTTGTAGTGCTGGAGGAGTTAGCTCACTCCTTCACTGCAATCGTTCAGTGCCAAGAGTGTGTTGGAACTTGAGAAATCAACAGAGTTCAGGATTGCTGTTATTAACGTCCTTTACAAAAAGGAGATTGAGAATTTCCTCACATTTGTTCCTAGTAAAACTTGAAAGTCAGATTTTCTCCTCAATATTTTTGACAGCTCTAAGCCTAACCTTGATAACTTAATTTCTTTAATTATATTCATGGGCTCTATTGAAATGCCTATTTTCATTATTTCCCAGCAGTATTTTCTTCTAAGTGTCCAACCCTATAAGTCAGAGTCAGCTCACGCGCTAGTGGAATTACGGCCACATCCTTCTGTCTATGCTAAGAGTAAGTTCTCTGAAACAGATTTATAATTCCCTCCAGAAGCAGTTTGTTATTTTTCTGGATATTTTTGTTTAATATCCAGTACATAAACATCCGTCTCATTAAGTAATAATAAAGCAACGAATCGAGACCTTCAATCACTCTCTGAAATACCTAGTTGAGTCGCCGCAGAACATACCTCTAGACGATGTCTGAGTAATTGGTTTAAATATTAAGTATTGTAAGGCACCAAGTAAAAATTTAAGTACAGCATCCAATCAAACCTCCACAAGGGTTTTATATTCTTCCATCAGACGCTCTACAATCATAAGAGGAGTGTTCTGTCAAAAATATTTAAGAAAATCAGGCTATCAACCAACGCTTTCTAAGACTCTGTCATTTGTTATGAAGAGATAATCTATCCTTTCGTTTTACCATCTTTATCTTGTTATCGTGATGATTCATACCTTGTAAGCTTTTTAAAGCAGAGCTAAGTCCTTCCAGGAAATACTCTGTCATTTTTTTTCTCTTTTTTTTCGTAGCTTTTAGTTTTATTTGTTTCATTGTACTTCAGTAATGCACACCAATTGGGTACTTATATTTTACAAGATGTTTTATATTTTTTGATGTAATGTAGAAATAACTAGCTGTTACTGACTTAAACAAGAATCTACAAAGGGTTCCAAGCCACGTGGCTCATAACATTCAATTTTTAAAACTAGTCATGAAATCAAACTCAAATCTTTGAGGAATGGGATTGGTATTTGACAAAGACTCGGACCAGTAAACTAACCATCTATTTCAAAATTCTCAGTTTTCCACCACATTGGCGGTTCTCCTTTTTCATGATAGATTGAAAAAATTTCCTCTTGTTTTAGCAATCCTCCTCATTGGTATCTTAAAACTCCTCCTGCAGACTTTACCTGCCATCCTGCCCAATCGAAATCGAACTATTTGATCAAAATCATTCAAAGAGTCTTCGTATTTGTGAACAATTTTGTGAGAGTTTCAAAATTCAATACTGTTTTCTCAGACTCGAGCAATTGTTCATCAGCTGTCCCTAACAGTTAATCAGTCATTTCAAAATCTTTTTGTACGTGTTGGAAAATGTAGACCCATTTAGTGAATACTAATTTTTGCTCTCTTGAAGTAGCAAATGTCTTGAGTGAAGGGTTCAGTCCTCAAGACGTAGTATCATGAAGTTAGCCGTCTCTTTTTAAACTCCTCTAATGAAATTGCCTCCTTTTTTATTAAGCACCGTTTGAACCCCGGTTTTGATCCCAGAAATGCCACTACAAAAGTCCGGTAGTCCTTTATTTTTGCCATGTGGTAGATTACTTTTTTTCCTTTCTTGTTTAACATATCGCCAATATCATTTATCATTACTTTTACAAGTACCGTTCATGTTTCTAATTTAAATCTCTCACAACCTTACCAGGTATCAATGATTTATCACTAATACTCCTTGTCTTAATCTCCTCCCATTTAAATCATCTTGTTAAGGAATGTATCCACCCTACTTATATATCCCATTTGTGCTGCTAATACCTGAGCATTAAATTTCCTTTCCCAACAGATCACATCCCAAAATTATTTTAGTTGTTAAGAACATCAAATGTCATCTTTTTTGAAATTTTGTCTTAGTCATTCCTTTTTTTTAAAAAGCGAAATTCATGAAATGTCCGTAAATTATCATGGAACAGTTTGTAATATTTATCATAGTTTGTTTGCATGTATTAATGCATGTATTAGAACCTCATCAGCCCTGTCATTGTTAGTTTTTAATTTGATTGGAGGTCTGAAATGTTGGGCTTAGCCTCAACTCGGTACCTATTCATTTCCACGTCTGAATATGTTGTGTACAAATATTTTATCCAATCGAGCTTGCCCCTTATACATCTCAGAATAGGCCTGTAATGAGGGTAAATGATAACTTTATGAGCGAGAATGTTTGTCATTGTCTATACCGAAAGGCAATGAGGTAATTTTGAAAGTACTCGCAATTTTTTTTCTACTTTGCCTGTAGCGATTTCTCTAACAAAATTGATTGATTACTCTCGCAAGTCCCAAACACTGACTTGAGAAGCATTGATCATCAATACTATGGTGCTAGTTTTGCAGAAACAAAGATGGTTTATAAACGATAATTATCTGCTTTAAAAATGTATGCTAATTAAAATGACATGATCCGTCTTTAGGTCACAAGTTGTATGCAAATTTTAATATCCATCCCAGATAAACAGCTTTGATTCGGAGTAGAATTATTCAAATACCATAATTTTTTCAATCCATACTTCACCCATGCAACATTTTTTGGACTCCTCAAATTGAATTTCAAATTACCAGTTACCAGAGGATTGTCATTGAAGATTTTTACACCTTCTTAATTGCAATTTAATACAAATGAGTGTGTGATGAATAGCTTTCCGAGTAATTTTTATTCGTTAGGGTGTCTACAGGTCTGGAAAACTGGGTATTGTCAGGAAATTCCCAAAGTTGGGGGAATCAGGGAATTTTTTGAGATGGGATGAAAATTAAAAAAATCTTGAGAGTTGAAATCTGAAGAGCATAACCTTACCGCTGCCCACATAACCGATCAATCAATCAGTTTGGTTCAGGGTTCGGTTCGGTGATTTGATCTACACACTGAATAGCAAATAAAGGAATAATTTTTAATAAAGATTTGCAATTTTAGTCAATGTAATGATTAATACCTGAAGAAAAAGGTTTATATGTTTCTGTCACTTGCAGTGAAATTAATGAAAAAAATAATCGTTCATTTTCAGTTCCGTGCATGCAAATTTTCTTCGGAAATAATCAGGGAATTTCGACCATTTTGGTCAGGGAAAAGTCAGGAAATTTTTTCCTGCCAAACCTGTAGACATCCTGTCCCAGCCATTACTGCTCTTACCAAAGTTGTATGCTTAAGCAAAGATCATTGAAACAAGAATAGCATCATAAGTCCTTTGAATCTTTAGAGTTTTGGCACAGTGAATTTCTCAGATCTCCAACCAATTTTGAAGAAAATCAGTCACAAAAATTGTTTCTATATGTATGTCATCGTTGTTATTGTACATATTTTTAACCAGCAGTCATCTCTGATTTGACCCAGAATACCAAGCTAGGTTTTGTTGATATCTCAGTTGATGTTGGAAAGATTTTTATTTTTTATTAATGTTTGTGGAGTGCTCCCTAAATTCTATTGAATGTCATAAAGGTGAGAATGCAGAGTTGGTGTGTAAATTTTTAAAGATCCATTATACTGTCCACCACAATTTCAGAGGAAGTTATGAACCTTAACATGATGCAAAGTGTGCTTCATATGATACCTGTATTTTTGTCCGCTCAAATATTGAGTGACATCTGATTAATTGTTGCACATCAAGGTTTCACGATTTTTTTTATCCATAACTTATTTTTTTCAACTTTCCAATGTAAGCTACATGGAATGATACTTGAGTGTATCTTTCAGCAAAAGAGCAAGACCATAATCAGGACGTCGGCTGTAAGCTTTCTCTCATTAAGATACCGTTGAATGAGATGCTAATATTCAATCTTCAGCTAAAAATGAACCATGATACCAACAGCAATCGGCTGAAAGGGGAGTTGCTTTGATGGCAATAACTACTTTAATATGCACCTTTTGTGGAGCAAGAAAATTAGCTCCATCTATCCATGAGTTGATTTTGACTGATCCCGGTTGATTGTAGTATTTCTCTGAGAAAGGTCTGTTTTATTTTTTCAATGCATCTTTGAAAATAATTAAAAAGTTGGTCTTTTCTCGCCATATTCAGTTCAATTAAAAAGTTGGTATTTTCTCGCCATATTCAGTTCGCATGGCTCATTTGAGTTGGCTGTCGTCCATATAGCGCAATAATAAAGGTACCTCTAGCTGTAAGATATGCTACAGCAAATTTCAACAACTTTGGCTAACAAACTACGTTTAGGGTGAAAATTCCATCCCTAGCAATATCATAAGAATTAAATAGTTCATTTACTTCTTTTTATTTATCTAAAAAATGTATCTGTTTGTATACAACACATTTCCATGTATCGCCACCTAATTTCTTCAAGCCAAAGATTTTGAAGAAAGGTCAGGTTTCACGCTCTCTCTTGAATTCGAGGCACAATTTAGCATCATAAATGTTTATTCAGTGTCAGTTCACAAAAGTTGCATCATCCTGATAATTGTAAATATTTCTCTATTACTTTGCCTAGCTCAACTATCTGAACACTACTTTGGGTAGCAATGTTCCTTTCAAACTACATCAGTCTTTTGAAACATATGTTTGAAACTCACTTGCAAGAAAGATATGTGTGAAAATCTTCTTAGATATCTGGTAGTTCTCATAATTAAACTCTCTGTCAAGTCAAAAAATCCAAGATTGTTGAGACTTTGCCAGTTTGCACTCATATTGTCTGTGAGACAGTAATATTGATAGGAATTCCTCGTTCATTGGCCTCGAAACCTGAATATAGGAGATACTTTTATATGTTCGAAGATGCGTTTAGGGGCCTCTCTAGCTCAAGTACCTAAAGGAGCAATGTCTACTTTATTCACCAAATCATCGCTCCACTATTTGTAAAAATGTTAATAAACCAAATCATCTTTATTAGGATTCCAATTATTTCCTGTCCCAAAGTCAGGACCTGACTGTGTCATCGAGTTAGCCTTTGTATGAATGTGAACCTTGAAGTTGTATTTTACAACTTCAAATGTCTGAGCCACCTTGTTTTTTTTAGATTGCTTGCCTGAGTGGTGAATTTATTAGCTGTTAGTAACTTGTGTCACTTTTTAAGATCTCTTTACACATTGTGATATGATACGATATTAAGAACCAAATTTTTGTAGCGTTAACAAAATACCATCCTATTTGTGATTAAATCGAGAGGTTATTTATTTTATTTTTTGTGACTTTCCAACAAGTAGAGGTTAAGATGCACAAAGATTGTTTATTAGCTGTTATCAATCAGAACCCCAGAGACAATAAACCAGTGAAGTCGTGTCTCGAAAAGCACAGGGCGCTGCAGTTACTTTCCCCATCAGTAGACTTTTTGTTGTCTCATCTTACTACAAGGAAAGTTGCCATGGGCAACGGCCAGTCCAATCTGGGTCTCCAGAGAAGACAAATGTCGTCTCTGACCTCAGCATGAACGTACAAGAGACATGACTTCACTGTAATATGAACACTTGAGTTTGGAGGTGTTACAGCTTAAAACGGGTATTAAGATCTGACTTACATACCATTCTCAAATGTCTCACGAATATTTACTGTAAAAATGAAAATCTTGTTAATCTGTTTTATTATAAAAGCATTGCCTTTTAAATTGAGTTACTATATCAAAGCTAGATTGATTGTATCAAATTTGTTTGCAGATATTATTTTAATTGTTGAGCAAAGGCTATTTATCCACTTATTTTTGAGGAGAAACCATGATGCATGGTAAATGAAAGTGAAGTCACCCTCACTACAAAAAGTTATTATTTATCAATTTATAAAAGTTACGGCGGATTTGTTGCAGGTCTGTGACACTTAAATACATTGGCCTCTTTTTAGCAATTGATTTCTATTCCTGGCCTAGCCCTAGAATCGAAACTTGAATTTTTTCTTGAAAACTTTATTCCAAACCATTTTCATTGTAATAGCACTCAATTTTAGCTTTTGTTTTTGTAAAGTACTTGTATTTCGCCTGCTAACGAGAGCTTGAGGAATACAAAAATCATTCTTGAAACAATAAGTAGGACTGTTGGAAATATTTTTTAACAAACAGGTTCAGTTTTCAAAGTAAGTTCAAGGACCCTTGTTACTCTAAAATGAGACTTTAGTCCATCATCAAGACTCATTAGCAAGGTTTTATTTGTAAATAAATTCAATTTCGAAGAGTTTATTACTGTACTTTAATTATTATTTTTACAGAGTTTAATTTAGTTTACACACCCTTACATATATATTTTTATTCATTGTGGTGTTTTGATGATATTTTCCTTTATCTCTTTATCTATCAAGTAATAACCAAATTAGTGTTTATTAAAGGGGTTGCAATAGATTAAGAGAACGTCACTCAAGGGCAGCAGTTGTTAAGTAACTTTCAATTTGTCTAGAATTTTGAGTTAACTTCTGCGGCCTATGAAGGTCATCAATCACTATCTGTTTACATATGCTGGTTTATGGATTTCTCATGTCCTCTGATATAAAATCTTATGCGACACTCCTTGTAGGTAGTTATTAAGGTTTATTACTATGTAGACTCCTTGTAGTTTGTAAGAATGAATCTTTTAATTGAAGCAGTGATATTTTTGTAATCAAAAAAATCAAATCTGAAATCAAAGGCAAATAACGTTTATTAAATTGTAAAGAGATAGCATATTGTAGAGTCATGCATCTCATCGCAACAAAAAACCATCAGCAGAATAAATGAATTTACCATGTCATCGAGCCTCACCATTGAGGAAAAGGAAAATGCTCTTTATCATTTCAATCAGAGTATTTTATTGTTTACAAAAATTCTATTGCTCGCCCTTATTCAACCGAAGGAAAGATATTAATTTTAAACACACATATGTATTAAATTTTATTTTTAATGTATATTTATCCGCATATAACTATACGTGTATGTATGCATTTATACTTAATTGTGCTGGGTGTTCTATTGTTGCTTCTTAAGGCCACTGTTTGGTCAATGTGGTGTGGTGAAGATTCTATTACTTTCTTTTGAATTATGAAATTGTGTATCATCTTGATTTAAGAAAGGTGATAGCAGCAGAAATGTTAATTCCTGTTGCAGTAATTTATTTTATGGAACTTCCCAATAAATATTTGCTGTCATTCCCTTCTCACACAATCCCCTCCATCTGAGGAAGCCATCTGAGATATTGTGACAAAATTTGATACACCCAGTAAACTCCTTTAACTGGAGTGTTTTGAAATTGAGACTGGATCATTTCAAATGCAGTTCTATTTGTTGAACTTACACAGTGAGATACGCATTTTCGCAGTTTATTTACCGAATTGTTCTTGATAAGAACGATACCTCTTCAATGCAAACCAGAAATGAGAAATTGTCAGTCTATTTCAAAACACTTCGTTCTAAGTGGCAGTGGTATACCCTGGTGAGCTGTGAGTCAGCAACCAAACCTTCTTACATTTCCATTGCATCATTTTGAAGTTCAATGAGGAGCTGCTACATAGTCTAAAGAAATACAACATCTGTTATTTTTTTATCAAGGTAAAGTCGACTAGAAGCCCTCGCACTTTGATGTGTTGTAGAAAAACAGTTATCAGATCCACAGAGAGTTACTTGCTTTAATAAGGGACTCAAGGCATTCAAAATTGGACTGTAATTCTGCATGGTTTAGCTTTGTAACTGCCTTGATACCAAAAAGTTAACCATCTAGGTGTGGAAGTACATGTACAAACAAAAACCTGCTGTCTTGAAGAATTGTTGATTACATCAAAGTATCACTCCTAGTGAGTATTCTTCTTAAAGTCAAAATCTAAGTTTTCATCTTTAGATATGTCAGACGTACCTCAGCAGCATATCAGGGATTGCCATTTGTCACTGTACATAGGGATTTGTTCAACAACTTGTATTAATTCATCAAAGATTATTTATTTTATCCTTTCAAATTCTTTAAAAGCGTTATTCATGTTTAGAGTTTTATTAGCTATTTAAATTAAGTATCAATTACTCTCATTATTGTAGTCATTCAAAATTGTTTGTTAACATCATTGAGGAAATCATTCGTTATAGAAGTTTATTTTTTTTTTCAAGTATGATGTTAGACGTTTATTTCCTCGATTGCCTTTTCAAGTCAACAAATATTAAACTGTATTTATTGTAGACAAAATGTGAGTTCAGAACCATTATCTTTGACCAAAAGAATGAATCAGCTTGTGATTTGTAGTGTTCCAAGAGGGTACTCTCAAAGAAGTACACATTTATGATTGTCAGATTAATGAAATGAGTCACTTCTGATGAAATTTCCCCCAAAATTAGGATGAAATGTTCAATCCTTGTTCAAGTTGTCAAGAACTAAAATTTCAAGCAGTCATCGCTCTGTTGTTTTTGTGGGAGCTAGGTTTTTCTGTAAGTAAATTTTGCAACCTTGTAATAAAGATACGTTCATTCGTCTAGGAAACGACGATTTAACCATTGAACCCCCAGTTTCATACATTCATTTGTCTGTTTTTGGGCTTAGTATTGTTCATTTTTTCTTTTTATTGCGAAATTTTTTCCGAAGTGAGCTCTCGTGCATGTGTACAAATTTTATCAAATACTTGTCTGAAGAGACATAAGTATAGTAAAATCAAGATCTTTATTTTTTTAAGACATGTTAGAAAATTCCGGAAGAAGAATGTTAGTTAATTAGTAATGCAATAACGTTAGAAGATTGCTAATATTTGAAACTTTGAATATTCTGTGGCAGTGGTTGGAAATGAAATTGATCAGTCAAACACAGGAATCAACTATTTATCCTTCTCATTTCGTTGGCTATAGCGCAGAGGAGCAAAGCTCTGTATCAAAATGTCTGTAACGATTTCATTCTATCAGGAAGTAACCGCCATTACAATTTTTCCGGAAATCTCCACTATTTTCCTCTGTATGGATGCAGAACTTCTCTGAAATTTCCAAACCTGAAAGTGCAACGATGATTTGTTTAAAAATAATATGTTTACTGAGATTTTTTTACATCACCGTGCAGGTACTTCACTCTACCTTGCAGCAATGATTCCATTCATTAAATTCTGGAAGGAAGCAGCTCTTTAACTGCAAAAAAGGTTTTACTCTTTAAAAAATTCAAAAAAGTTTCAAATAAATTTTAGAAGTGCAGAAGGTAGCCTCTTTTTAAAGTTTTTCTTTGAGTAATGGTGTTTTCAGTTGTTTAGCTCCTATGAAAACAAAAAAAAATTAATTTCAAATTTTTATATTCTCCTAAAATTTGATGTTTTTTGTAACAGAAAGAAAGTGTCGGCTGAAAATTCTCTCTGTCATTTTGCTAAAACCAGGCCTTTCTATTTTCATTTTATTTACTTTGTACATTCACATTCTCTTGGCCATTCTCCCTTAGGAAACCTTCAGGCAAACCTCTTAAAATATTCTCTACTATCCTAGAATTTTTTTTTTTTTTTCAATCTGTAATGCAATAAGGTTTCCTTCATCACCAATTGAATACTTTGGAAGATTCAAGGATTGAAATCTTAATCCGAACGTTTTACTGTGTTTGGCTGCTCTACTTGCGGGCTGTGATGAATGTTTTGCTTTGTTGCGTAGCCAGTGAATTCATTTTTGAAACCTCAGGGCAGATTTTCTTTTCTGAGCTTGGCTCAACTCAGAAACGAAGAAATACTATTTAGAATCATACATATTCCCAAGGAGGTAGCTGTTGGTCTCTTTTTGGCATATTTTGGCGAGTTAATAATCTTGACCCGTTGACTACTATGCTTACTTGTCCAAGTTGGCAATGGTATCCTCTCAAGCATTTTTCTTGTTCTCTCGAACAGACTCCAGTCTCCAAAAAAATCTAGACAGTGTGACAATATCAATTCATGGCTTCCATTTTATATGGAATCATTCCAGAATAGTAATGAAGTGCAACATTCTTGTTGTGTTTTTGTTTTCTTTTAAACTTAATTTTGTTGATGTCAACTCTATTATCTAACTCTTAACGGAATCAAAAATAATTAGACAGATAGCTCATCTAGCAACTATCTGAGTCCAGTCTATTCAGTAGGCATTGATATGAAGTTGGTTAGAGAGTTTACTTCTCAATATCAAGTTGAAATTTTTAGTTTCACTCAGGCAACAGATTTCTCCTTACTGTTTCTGCCATTAAATGTTTCCACTGTTAAACAATTTACTCTCAGTTCGAACGGGGAAAAAAAATAAAATAAAATTAATATGAAAAGAAGGAATTATGTACATCCTTATCAGAGATTTCAGTCTCCTTTCCTAGTGCAACCTTTTTGTATTCTCTCAATGGAACAGTGCTTGAGAGGAGCAGCAACCTAACATCCTCATTCTAAGTAGTATTTCAAATTCTATTTTATTAAAATCTGACACTTGAAACAATCCTGAAGTTGAATCGTTGTATTTTTATATCATTGTTTGTACTATATCCTCAGCCAACTAGTTTGTGGTCATTTTAATGTACTCATCTTGAATTTAGTGAAACGTTCTTGTTCCAATACTTCACTTTTTCAACAAGTATAATGGTTGCCTGTTTTTATTTTTTCCAATATTGTTTTGTTGTTAATCTTTTGTTTTTTTCTCTCATGAAACTTTGGGAATTCTGACTGTAAATGTAAACTCTATTATCAAACTCAAGTGTACCCCCTGACCCAATCAGTCAAACATTGGTAAAGCAAATTACACGAGCCACTAATGCTGTCCCAACACAGTTCCTTCTCAAACTGGTGGAATTAGTTGAAGTAGAATTGGGCCATTTCTTTGAAAATATGGCTGCATCGATCCATGATTTTTATCAAATAGATTTTAACCCAAATCGAAATCAGTTAGTCAAGCAAATTTTGCTAATGATTGTCCATTTAGACCGACCCCCACTTCCATTTGAGATAGGAAGACTGCGAAGTGCTTTCAGTCTTGCGTTATCCTATTATTAGCATGCAGAAACTTCTGAGAAATGCATTTATGAGATAGCAAGATCTTACCTTCATCTAAAGAAGGACCTTAAATAGTGTAATACCACCTAACCACAGTACCACAGTACATATTTTCTCATCAATTTCTAGAACATAGTGAGCATGTAAAAAATTTGTAAATTCAGTTCATTTGTAAACAGCTGCTGTTTTTTATGCTTGTCAATTCTAACTTCTGCTCTTTAAAGAACCCAAATCAACTCTTGATTCAAATTTGACACTGAACCAATTTCAACTCTTGTGGAGCCCAATTCAAGTTACTTGTTGAATGTAGTAGTTGTTTTCATTCTCTGATTTTATTTTACCTGAGTTAAGTTTGGCCTTCTCAAAAGAGGGTGGTTAGAATTGAATGACTCTGATGTAAAACTCCAAGTGTTTCTTTCTTGTCTCTAAGTTAATTCTGACACTGTAAGCAAATCAGATGTGTTCAACTTGAAATTATGATGAGGGAACAAGTATTGTGGTACTTTCCTCTGGTACCATCTTGTCTAATGGTGCGATGGGATAGAATTTGATGAAACTTGATCCATTTACCACCTCCATCTTTTAAACAGAAGTTCATGCAGGTGTTGAAAGATTCGGTGTTCAATTAGTGAGAAAAAATCCACTAAAAGAGCTTCCTTAGGTTAGACACCTAGGTTCCTGTGCATTGATATTAGGAAATTATTCCATGGCAGGAGCTCATGAGTCATGAGACTAAGCATGAACCGAAGGCTGGAATTGGTTGATCGAATGGTCTCCTGTATATATAAGAAACAGGCTTCAAGTTGCAAAAAGCTATGCGAATTTTGTATGTAAGTTTGTTTAAACGATGAATGAAGAAATTTAATTTTATTCTTTATTGAGATCATCACCAACATCACGAAAAGCAGTTGTAACCATTGCCTTGAAATGTAACTGAATTCAGGCTCATCAAGTTCTAGCAAAAATTGAAGAGTCATCAAGTTCTAGCAAAAATTGAAGAGTCAATTAGTAACAAAGGACCAAGTAATGGACAAAACTTAATTTTTTTAGCCTTCAAATTTGACCAATCAGGCTGAAGCACCGTACTTGTCTTAATTGGTCAAACATCAGGAAATAATCCATTATCCCTTTGCCCTTATTTTGCTTCTTTTCAAGAGTTGCAAAAAATGTTTTACAACCATCAACTCGGAATGCAACTGAATTAAGTTTCATCAAATTCTAAAATAGTTCCTTCTGCAAAATGGAAACGTCAATTGAAAATAATGTTTTTTTCTTTGTTTTTTCACTGCTTTCATCATATTTGAATTATCTTGGCATCTAACATATTTTTAAAACAAATTTTCTTCGTCTCATCTTATTGATTCATATTTTAATAGAGAAAGTGCCCTCCACCCTGCCTGTTGTTATCACTATGTTTAATTTTCGTCTATTTTTCTCGGTTTTTCTATGTGGTCTCCAAATGATACACCAATATAGTATTTTGAAGAGCATTCAGTTACCAAATAACACTACTTAGTAGAATATTTGAAGGAAATGAAGAAACTATCTATCACATGTGTATACCTAAGTTTATCTGTTGTGAAATTTAAAAAAAAAAAAGGTACCTAAATAAAAACATTTTTTCAGTCATTTCGTCCTTGTCACAAAGTTCAGACCCCATCAACGCAATAGGTAACTAACATTGTCTTTCTTCGACGATTGTAAGACCTATGAGATTGAGGCATGTTTGTACTAAAAATTATCAATAAAATTAAGAATAGATTCAACTTACTGTGTTTTTTATTTGCTCTTTTTCAACGATTCATGTTCCTAGATTCTGATTAAAATATCCTCTTCCCTTATCTAGTGAATCCCTTCGATGAGTCTCAGATCAAGGCCTAGATGTGAAATGTGTGAGCCTTTTACTCAAATTAAAATTTAAGAAACACTCTGGAGGACATAAGGCTGGTCTGATACAAGCCCAAAAATAAAATTAGAGAGAGTCTCAAATACCTTAAGGAGCCTGGCTTTGCAAAAGGGATCAGATACTAATAATTTTGGTAAAATACAATTAATTAATTCCCTATCTGCCATCTGGTAACTTCCCTTGTGTCACCTCATTTGCTTGGAAGCAGATTTATCATGCTTCCCATCTGAGTGAATTATTAGAGACTTGGCATTCCCACACACCAATTGTTGATTCAGTTTTACACTTTTGGAGCAGGGATGATGTATTTTTCTTTTGAATTTCCAAGGAGGTATATTCGAGGATATTCAGTCATTCAACAAACTATGCAAAATTTGAGAAAATGAGGTACTCTTAACTTGCTTGGCAGAATTCACGATAAAAATGCGGTCTTGAAAGTTGAATGCTCATTGCTTTTCACTGGTCTGCAATGCGACTGTTCCTTACTTCTAGTTTACAGTCAAAATGTAAAATTGGGTGCACTTCAGTCAATCTGAATCTATAGTTCCTTCTTCATGTGAGTTGAATCTGTGAGAATGAAAACGCACCAAGGCGGGAAAATGAAAATTTTAAAGATACAGAAAAAACTGCACGGCTGGGGAAGAAGTTACTCGAAGAAAATGCTTTTTGATACCAAAAGATAAGTATGTAAAGATAATTTAAAGGCCCAGGTTAAAATAGATGCGCCATCTTTAGATACCTTTGTTAAAATCGGGTATCCTGAATGAAAAATGGGCACTTTAAAGTTTCCAGGTTGACTTGTTTTCATTCTCACGATTCAATTGAGTATCACTCTTGTCTCGAGAGACCTCAAAAAGAACAAATAGAAGGCTTGCTTTCCATCTGATCTTTTTGCAATTTACTGGTGGAAACCGAGTGACAGATGTGTGATATAAAGTCAGGCCTTACAAGCAAATTCAACTTCTTTGGCAAAGTGTTAAGGTGGTTAAATGCATGAGTTGAACATTCACAGAAAGATTTCTTATAACAAGAAAATAAACTTTATTGCAAAAATTGAAAACTGCTAAAACACAAATTCAGAAGGACCTATGAAATTTCCTCAGATACATTTAGGTTTTAGTGGGATCTGTTACGAAGCTCCGGCAAAAATTTATTTGTCACAAAATAATAATCTGTGTTGGCGCCAAATCAGTTGGCTGAGGTTAGGAGAGCAACAAAGATCTACCATATTCATTTCGACATTGGAAAGAGAAGTAAGAATCAAGACTCTGAATCTTCCATTCCTTTACTTAAATCAGTCAACTTATTAGGCATACTTCTTTGAAATGAAGTCAATAAGACCATCGAGGATAGGCTTAGTTACAAACAGAGAAAGATACCAGGAATTTCTCCAAAGAGCCATAATTCATTTGCTTCAATTGCATCGAAACACACACATATCACACCTGGAATAATTGATTACAAAGAAATGATACCACTTGTATTCTCGTTTTTCTTGGGCTCTTTCAATCCCAGAAGGAGTTCATGAACTTGCTCCGGGGATCTAGGCATGAGGTGGGACGGATTACTGTACATATTCTTTGGATCATGTATACGTTGATACAGCTGTCGGTAGATAGCAGAAATGACTTCGTTGGCCCGTCTTTGGATTTCCAATCGATGATTGCTGCTTTGCAGATAGTTGATTTGAGGAAGAAGCAACATATCAGGCATCATGAGAAAATGTTCTAATTTTCCCTAATATAAAAAAGAAATCACAGACAAGAATGAGTAGGATGCAGAGATAAATGAATAAGTTGGATGGTGTTACGCAAACCAGTCACATTTACATTGCGAGTTTTGAAAAAAGACCAATGTGCAATAGTTTGGGACTGCTAACGAGCCTACATCAGATATCGACACATACGAATTTTGAAGAGGAGAACTCAGACAGAAGAAGTGGGAAACAGGGAAAACTCGCATAATAGGCCACTTGAGGCTCCACTAAATGCCCCAGCCTCTGGAGTGTTTTTAAATCCCTTTGTAAATATGACCAGTTGGCTTAGTGCTGTTCCAAGGTTGAAAACAGTTAAGCAATACGGCCACAACTGTAAACATTCTAGAAGCTTATTCCAACTTTAATGATATGTTCTGCAGGGTTCCATTAGTAGAATTAGCCCGATCCCTGCACTTCCATACTATTGGATGCAACCTAAATTTTTCTGCTCAACAGACGTCAGATTCTTGGCTGATTGGGTCGAATACTGAGATTCTGAGATTGTAACGAGAGACTCTCTTCAGTGCTCGAAGGAATAAGTTGCAAGTGGTTCAAATCATTTAAGAGGCCCATGAAAAGCAGGCAGTACCAGTATAATCAGACAGTTATATATCTTAAACGAAGCAAATAAAAATTTTCTTCTCAAAACTGAGTTGCTTTTGTTTCCCGCAAAATTTTAACCACGGTTGGATTTGGCACTTATAGACGTTTTTTCTTCCGAAAATGTTAGACATACTCTACTGTACTCTGATATCAATAACTCGGTTATGAGTTTGTTTGAGTTTTTGTGAGAAAATAATTGGAGGGAATTTTCCCTTTGATGACACATTTGCATAATATTAACTTGTAAAAATGATTTCATTTTTGGCGATGCTCGAAGCTTGTTTAAGCAATTTTCAATTTTTAACTTTCCTGTCTTCGTCTCTACTTAATGGCTTTGATTTTGCTTTGTCAACTGATGCAAAATGTTGCAAGCCCAATTTTTCTTGAAGATTTTGGAAAATGAGCTAGAATTTAATTCAAGCTGTCGTGATTTAGGATCTATTGAAAGTAAAATGATTTTTGTCGATCCTTATTCATGCCAAAATACCTAAAAAACAGTCAGCTTTGATTTTTCTCCGTACGATTTTAGATTGTATACTTTTGTGTAAGTAACAGTTGGACAGAACTTGCAAGTGAAATTAGACATTAACTCGTTTTGTTATTTTTTTTCCTTTTACAGCCCTAATCATTTTGTGTTGTATCTTTTAAATTATTGTTTACACAGAATTTCAACACGTAAATTAGACGTCATGGTGGTATGACAATCGGTCATAATTGACATCATGTCGAGCAGGAATTAGATGTCAAGTTGGCAGAGCATAATACTTACAAAAAAACTGTCGAGACATTCTGGTTCCATCCCAGGTATCTGCGATAAAGGGGCATCACTGCTGTCCTGAAGAATGGTGTAAATGGGACCAAGGTTTAAGTTGGCAACAAGAGAACTAGCCTGCTCAGATGTGAGGGTGTCAATTTGCGCATCCGACTGAGCCTGAAAAAAAGGGACAATTATTCCACTGCAACTTTGTCAAATGATCAGTCCCAATAGATATGAGTACGGTCTCTTCTCCTTTACCTTAGGCTGGATGGTTAAAATGCATAAGTCATCCTTAAGCATACTTTAATCACAATGCAGGATCACCGGGATAATGCCGAAGAATGAATAATTAGCAAGAAATAATAAAGATATATTTGACATCATCCAAATTAAGCCTGAAAATTTGGCTCAGTGGCACCCATCTTTCTTAGTCCACTTAGCAAAAGTATGGAGTGAGCTAAGCCTCTGACAATTTGTTGAAAATGCAAAAAATGAGACCCGTTAAAAACAATAATTTTAAACGGCTCTGCTGAAGGAGCCACTAGGGGAAACAGCGTTCGCTGCTCGGCTGAATTCAGCTTCAGAAATTGCCGTGCTGTGTCAATCTGACTGTTGATTTGAAATTGGTCCGAATTTGATTGGCTTTTTCAAACTTTTTAGTGAAGTTATTGCTTTTTTCACAGAATTTCTTGCGCAAAATACTGTACTACTTACAACCCTACAAAATTTCTTTGCTACTGCCTCATACTGTTTACATTTTTTGCGAGTGAATTAGGTACCTGCAAGCGTTCAAGGCGTTGATCTGTAAATTCATAGAGAGCCAGGGTGGATGCCATCTGATGAAAACAGTTCAAAAGGTACACTGCCATGTCTGTCGTGGTGAGCCGCGCAGCACTTAGACTGACTGCTTGAAGCAAAGGGTCAATCACACTCGCTACAATCTGCAACTCAAAGTGATTAATTGACACTTTAAACAATATAAGTGAAGACCTCAGATACTCAAACATTTATTTCAAGCCATGGTGAAGAAGTAACTGGTTAAGGTTGTAAGGAATATGACATGAATCTAAAATGGGAAATGGTAGAAAGTGAACAGGTCCAATGAGCAGAGCAGACGCGGCAAAACACCATGGAAAAAAAAGCCCCACAGTGTAAGAGTATGTAAGTGAAGGGATCTTTTCAAACGATCACATTGAAAGAGCATATGAACACACACTAAGATCGGGCCACCTCTTTCCACTACTATTGCAACTGTTTGCGTGCAGGAACCCTGAATTTGACAGACTTCTTAGACTTTGAATCAGAATTTTTCCTAAAGCTTCTCAGAAAAATGTCCCTAATCCTATCCGTAGCTTCAATTTTTTCTTGACATCATACTCCACTTTTTTTAACCAAATACTGGTAAGAAATAAAATTTGTCAATTGAACTAAAAATGACAACGTATTATCAATGAGATAAAGAGTTGCAATAGAGTCCCTGTATACCCAGAGTTAAGACAACTCGATTATCAGCTGACTGGCAGCCAGCCTTGGCTGGCTATGGAGGCACAAACGAGTGCAACCAAATGAACGATATTGAGGGATAAGGATAAGGAATCCTGCAATGTCTGTCATCCAAAAACAACATCAACAAAATTGATCAATTAAAAAGAAAATGAGATTGGTTTGTGAGTAATTGCTTAATCTATTTTCATTTTGGACCGATGGAAATAACGATTTACTCTTGATAAGCCACAATTAGGTCATATTTTCATTATTCTTGTTTACATTCGAGTCACCGCCATCTTGGTGCACTCGTTTGTGATTCCATGAGCGAGAACCAATCAGAATTGGATTTTTTTTTTGGCCACTTTCAGGCCAAACAAAAGTGGGTTGTTGTAACTCTGGGTATAAAGGGACTCTAAGTTGCAATAGAGGCGATATAAGCATTAAAGCATGCTCCTCCTTTTCTTCCTGTCTTGAGGGTAAAATTATACTGTCCTAACCAAAGAACAAAAAAAGTGATTACCTTGACAATATCAACTTGGCGATTTTCAGTGACAGATGCAACACTTAAAACTTGGCGCAAAAGAGCCAGTAAATGGAGGACGCCAGGTGCTGGAGTCAAATTTGAGGGAGGGGCCTCAACACGGTCTTGCAACGTTTTGGCAACAATATCCTCCAGCAGAGAAAAGAATTGTTTTCGGCAGGCTGATGTTTGCTCGATGAATACAGACTCCAACACGCTTCCTGGAATCACCTATAAGCAAACAATGACAGGTATTTTGATGATACTATTTCTATGAAGTTTGGTAAAAAAAAATCGCAGTTCCTCCTAAGACAACTTGATTCTTCTAAATTTTCCCGAGGAGGTCCCTTGTTAGAGAGTCTGTCTGTGGCCCTCAACCTTCCCCTTCCTGTGATACCTTTCGACTTTCGACAAAGGATTCTTAGTTCCACGCAAGCTGTGAACACCCTTTTGACAATACTGTTAATCACAGTCACAGTCAGTTACTTAGTCGATATGCCGCAGCATCAAGTTTGAGTTCCACTTCAGTGGAAATTTGCATTAAGCATCAGGCAGTAAAGTCAAATTTACATAGATAAATCACAATGTTACGACAATTTCGTAAAGAACTAGGAATCAGGGCCGGATTTACCTATAGGGCACTGGGGCACTTGCCCATAGCGGCAAATTTTGGCGCTGGATTAATTGAAAGTTAAAGCGAGAAAAAAGGAAAAAATGGAGACAGAGACGGAGCGAAGTGAAGAGATGAGCGGCAAAATATATGAAGGAAGGGAGTTGACGCTTGACGGGAGCAGTAAAGCTGCTGCCCCTTAGGTCCGGCCTTGAGCGCTAGGATGATCGTTCGTTGGAGTGATACTAAACAACACGGCAATTTTAAACATCGAGGCAGACTTGATAATCAATTTAGACGTTGATGCTCAGGTTGACAGCTTTGCTGAGCTGAAAACCCGGAGAAAAACTTTTTAACCTGATCTTCCGAATATACATTGCAACTAATACATTGAGCTACACTAGCTTCAACTTTGTCTCCACATTTTATTTTTGTCTCATCCATCCATTCCATTTTACATATTCGCGGCGCATTTTGAAGCAGTTACGCGCACGCGCCCAGGCGGCGCACGAGATGAGACTGATGGCGTGGGAAGTTGGGAGTGCGGGGGAGGAGGGGATACTGTTGACAATATAGTGGCGAAATATTGCAGACCCAGGGGCGGCAAAATGTAGCTTGCCCAGGGGCGGCAAAAAGCTAAATCCGGCCCTGCTAGGAATACGTCTGACTGAGGTTATTCTGACAAATCAAGTGGATGCTACTTTCTCCCATTCGGGTTAGGCCCAGATTATTAAAATAAGCTTTAGGATTTGATGGGGCCTTGCAAAAATTTGACTTATTAACTGATCGGCCTCACAAACACCATGAAAGTCAACAAAATAAGCTTGGTAAACACTGTGGATGTAGGGGAGAGTTGAGGAGCTTTCTGGAAAAAAGGCTTGTACCAAAAAATCGCGATGAGAAAAATGCGTTTAAAGTTTTCATTACTACTTTCTGGCCAATGATGGTGTCTTATATCGGAACTTGGACACTTAGATTTGAGTTTGAACACCGTAGAATGAATCATCACTCTTGGTAAAACTTACAATTCTTTTAATGTTGTGGGAGGAATTTCTTAAAATTTTCCTTTATATGACCTTGTGGGTGACCAACCAGTAGCCAAAGGTGTTGGCTTTTAAAGCTGGACTTCTGAGAAATGAACGAACTTCTTGATAGAAATAAGGTTAATTAATCTCTTCTGTATGATAAAAAATAAAAAAAAATCTGCTTTGGTGTCAAAAATATTCCCCGCCCATCAGTTAGGACCGCACACTATCTACATGATATTGCGGCGGCCGTCAGCAGAGTTATATAGATGAGATACATTTTAGAGCAGCAATTAGCAGCTTACACCACTACCATGACAGCTGTGCTGACATGTAACTGGAAATGGAAAGTCAACTTAAACGAAGTTTCCCAGAGAAAGGGCCCTTATGCTATGTGCCCTTTTTCAGGAAATAGCCTACGACCCTTGACTTGGGTACACAAAACTTGGTCTCTTTGGCTCCAAAAGTTAATTAATTGAACTGAAACTCGGGGCATGAACACATTAGGATACAAAGAATCCAGTTCAGCAATTTCCAGAATAAGGGCACACCTGGGTAAGGTGTATTTGCTCTTTTTCTGGGAAGCTCCTCAAATTCACCTTGCCTACTGTTTCTCAATTTTCAAATTTTTTCTTCATACTTGCAGAAATGTGTTGCAAATTACTTACAGACGAAATGATATTGTGGTAAAACTTCAATAGACTTATGACCGAGTATAAGTTGGACGGTGAGGTTTCTTGTTGAATAACAGTCTCCAGCCTGACCTGAAGGGGGTTGCAAACTCCTTCAGTGATATTTGACAGCGCTTCATCTATATCTTTGGAGAGTTCTGGATCGGGAGGAAAAACACGAAAAAAGTATTAGCGACTTCTGAGAGAGAGCTATACTTAGATAATGATTTAGCCAATCGCGCCAGATGTACGATCATCATACAAAAAGACACCAGAGCTACAGAATCTGGGAGAATAATTGAAGCATGGAGAATCAAAGAAGCAAAAAGTCACTTTTCATGGCCTACTTTTGGAGGACCGCAGGAAAAAGTGACTTTTTTGGTATGACAAATATTTCAGAGCTATGGCTTTGATCACAGTTGAGGACCAGTGCGATTAGTCCTGAATATTTCAATAATCAAAGTTAATAATAATATACTGATTTCCTGGATGGAAACATGGATTTGTGCCTGTTTGATTCAAACTTTTTTTTCACCGTTTAACCATATCATCCCATCTGGATTCTTGCTCTATTGATCCTAAAACTTGAATGGTGGAACTTTCGACATGTTTTGGGAGGGCACTGGAGGTTAAATATCTTTCATAGCCATCTCTAAGTAATGGAAATGATATTTTTGGCCCAACTTCTTTCAACTTCCTTTTGGAGAAAAAAAATCTAATATCAAGAAACAAGCGTTAAGTGTGAGAAAACTCATAACTATAAAGTTTCAGCTCTCTACGCCACCCCTAACATGAAGTCCTGGGAATTTCGGGGAATGAAAATTAACACACGCATTTTTAGAGAAACAAAACCTCAAACACCTACTTGTTGAGGCTTACGAAGAAAAGAAGGCATTGAAAAAAGTAAAATAACATTTAAAATTGCACTTTCAGTGCATGGTTAACATTCCTAATGAGTATCTAAGTAAATGCCCTATAAATACAGACCCAACTTGCATTATCAGGGTGGTATGCAGCATACATCCTCTCTTCACTCAAAATGTCTCAGTCAGCAACAACTCATGTACTCCCGTACTAAAATTTGTGCCTAGGAGTCTCCTACGCAGCAGCTAGCTTCACAAATGAACATCAACCTCAACATCTTGTTGAATTGATACCAACTCGCCTCGCTCACAACATCTTGATCCTCTCTGATGCTGATAACAGCCTACGCATTGCGCAGTTACATGAGTCGCTTGCTGATCCTTGATCACTTCATTCTCAGCTGCCACAGACTCCATCACCATAGCATAGGGACTTCATTGCAGTTGGACATCTTGCCTCTCAAATGGCCCTACGAACACATTTGAGCAATCTCAAAAAGTGGATTTTTGTGTTTCCTTTCAATAACAATCAGTATAGCTAGCAGATGCAAAATATTGGGGGAAAAAATACGCCTTTTTGTAGTGCCGAAATTTTATGATGAAGAGACATCTCGCTTCAAGCAGGTGTTGATAAGAGGGACTCTAGGTGGCGGTAGCCACCCCGGCCCAATCCTAAAAAACTCCCCCTAAAAATTTGACGACAAAAAAAAAAAAAAAAAAAAAAAGACAGGTGGCTGCTGCCTAACTAATTATACACGAAACAACTCGATTGGGCTTTTCTACACGGTTTGCGGTCCATATACCTCTCCTGCTAATTAAGTCGTAGAGTAAATGCCAAAAACCCTATAATATTTGGGTAGAAGATACTCAGCTCTACTCATAATGCCCACCCTTTTTAGGTTTAGCTGAATATTAAAAAAGTTATTAAGCTTTAACGACAAATTTTGGACCCCAAAACATGACGATGATGGAATTGACCAATCATGTTACTGCAAACATGATATTATTTTTGCAGCAATACTAAAACCTTGTATACTAGTACCTTCTTTGCTACAGTCCCTTAAAAGCAGGAGAATATTTTCTCTTTCATTTGGAATGGCTTGATGCAGCCAAGCAAGCATGTCGCCAACGTAACGCTTGCTATCAGTTGAGTGAGCCTCGATTGGTTTCGGTGTGCCCCCTGGTCCACCACTGGTTAAGGCATCAATGAACATTTGCACCATCACAGCTCGACGAGAGATACAGTATTCATGAACAACGTACCTAAAAAAAAAATCGCATCAGTTGAAAATGACGCCTACTTAAAAAATCTCTGAATTAGTATTTGTGGAAATGTATCAGCAGCAGTGCGATGAAATTATTACAAGGTAAATTTCCTGATTTCTGTTAGTGTACCTATTTTCGGATATTTTGAGAATTTTGTCGAGAATAAAAATTTGCAAATTGCGGACCTCTGGTATTTTTCTTTTCCTGAAGTTTCAACATCTATTTCCTGTACTTTTTCCGCGAAAATTCACATTTGTATACATCTGATGAGTTTACAAAATTCTGCTGAAAACTTCAAGGCAGTCACTACTAAGATTTTTCATGTCGAGTGCCGGTTGAGGTGACAGGAATATGTACACTTACCTGACTCAGATGACATTGATAGAAGTTCCAAGTTTTAACCGGAGTAAACTGAGGTTTAATGAATTGAGTAAAACCTAAATTTCTCTCGTCACCCTGGTCAAAACGCCGAAAAAACGTACTTGTCTAACACCTACAGTGAGAAGTGTTTTGCCCGATACAATTTGTTAGGTGTACGTAAAAATTGCATAATATCGGATGAACCAATTTTCTCTCTCAAACAAACCCAAAATTTAGTTTTTGGGTAGGGAAGAATAATGATTCAACGACTTACTTGAAGAGAACGGGCCGTTCTTGGAGCCTGGCCATTGCTCTTGTTAAAAGATTACTCATTTCTATCGATTCAATCCCTTTGCAATGGAACTGAGCCCAACGATACAATTTATCTAAACCTGCTTCCTGAAAAGAGAAAGAAATGTATTGCTAAATTGTTTAAATTGACTTGATACTGGGTGCCAGCTAAAAACCTCCAAATTGCAATATTATTCTGTCTTTTGAGCTAGCTTTATCAGTTTCCTTACAACACTCATAAGAGGGAATACAAGTTTTTACAGCTCTATGATGAAATGAATCACAATATTCTTGTCACTTAATTTTTCCTCCAGAGTTGTTGGGGCTGAAAAAATACGAAAATATCCGTGGAAAACATGGTGGCCGAGAGCCGAAAAGCTTTAGCGTTTAAAATGTTAATAAAATAAATAAAGCAGTGATAACCATAACACCTTGGCTAAAATCCTTTTCTTTCTCATACTGAAAATGGTGTTACTAAGCATGAACGATTTCATAAATTCAGATTTGGATAAAAAGATGTTAGAAAAATTCACTGAAATCTGTAATAATGAATTTTTTTGTAAAGAGATTTTCGAAAAGTTCAACTTAATTTGAAGTATTCATACAGGGTGAGTAAACTCCCTTTTCAGAGAACTCTGTTCTTTGATCTTTAACCCATCCACCCAACACCAGTTAATTCTCCTGGAAAAATTTGAAATAAAAGATGATTAAGTACCTTCAAAAAGCCTAGATTTCGAGGACTGAAGTGCTTTACAAGCACATGATAGAATTTGTGCTTTGAATTAGGCTCCCAATGATAATGAACAAAAATTAACTTTTCAACACACCTGATATCTTGACATTTGCTCCATGATATCGAGGGCCACTGTTCGAAGACCAGACTGCATCAGAGTTCGACAGCGTTCATGAATGGAGTGTACTTTATCAAGGGCTTCAAAGAAACTTTGTGAAATGTTAGAATCAGTTAATAGGGCAAGTTGCTCAGGTGAAAGCTGAAACTGGCCAATAAATGCCTCCGCTACCTGTTGTTGCATGGATATTTTCTTCCTAAAAAAGACAAAGAGTTTTTATAACATTTTCATTTTCCAAAGCCCTGACTTTTCGAATTCTTTGCTTCTTTTTTTTTTTCGCCAAAATTTTAAAATTTACATTTGGATTTATCCCTTTCAATTGTGCTAACTATCACCTACCTATGACCTATCACCTTAATATAGCAGCAGAAATGCCTTTCCTCACTAACCGCCCCAATGTTAAGATGGCTCACATAAAGGTGTATTTGGGGGGGGGGGGCAATTTTAAATAATGGCGGGATGGCGTCAACATGATGGCTTTGGATACAACCCTGCAAGGAGCCATCCTGTGATAAAGTTTGTGCAAAATTCATCTTATTACAAAAAACAGTAGTGCAATGCTACCGATTTATACAAACATTCAATGTCCCACAAAAGGCTAGGTTAAATTGATTAAATCCCACTTTGCGTTTGCGTTGCCGCCAAGGTCTGGTGAGAACCATGAGTATGAGCTTGAAGTATAGGCCAGGAGTATAAGCTAGGATTGAAATTATGGATTCTCACATGAGAAAGAGAATAAACCGATTCCAATAGGCGAAAAGGAATTAGAGTGGGGCTTAATATTGCCAGGCTAAATGTGGACAAAAATTAATTTTTCTGAGGACAGAGTAAATATCTGCAACTCCTTTTTTATCAACTTTAAATCCTGCAAGATGAACTACCAGCCCTCGTGATTGAGATCGCTGCAGGTGTTTGTAGTCGGGATCCAAGCCCATTCACACATTCTTAAACACCAAGCAAGCCTTGATTTCTTCTTAATTAGCAGATCTGATTCATTAAACCAATCGAGAACGCTGGTTGGGAATAGCAGTTATCTTAACAAACACTCTTGTTAACAGTTAAACACTCAACTGTCACTAACAGTCTTTTTCCAGGTAAATACTCTCGTCCTCACTATAAAAGAAAAAACAAATTTCAACTTCTCGGAAAAATTGTTCGACAGTTTAAATTTAACTAATTTGACAAAATTGCTTTACTTGACCGTATTTCAGACTAAAGAGAATAAAGGAGAATTAATTCAGTAGAGAGAACTTACGCATCCGACTGAAGTTTTAGGGTCTGTTCTATCAGTCTGTGAGTGTGAGTTTTCGTTGAATGCAGCTGGGTTGTCATAATTTGGACGGATTCATTCATTGCTTTCACATCATTATAGACTGAGTCTAATTTTTCTTTCACCACTTGAAAGGCAGACAAAAAATCCTTCAAACAAAAAGGACGATGGTAAGACAGGTAAATTGAAAAATTTACGGTACTTTACGAAGTTGTGAAGTGGGCCAGTTTGGGGAAGAGAGGGCTAAGGTCGGAGCATGTTGACCAGGTGGACGAGAAGAGACTAGCAAAAATTTGTGGAGAAGGACAACCCTTAGATCACAGAATACCAGGCCCACCGACCAAGATATGAGGACATAACTGAGCAGGAACGTTCAGCATTGCAATGAAAAATCCGCCTTTTGCTTCTTTAGTAGCTTTGTCCTCTCCTTTTGAATATGCTTCCCCCTGATAATTGCAGCTTGCAACACTGTTGCGGAAATCCTACACCTTCTCTCTTGCCTCATGAAGTCTGACTAATACATGGACAGCAGATGTTTCAAAAAACACTTTTTTCTTGGGACTGCACAAGATATCGACAGGGTAAGTCGGCAATCACATAACTCGTTAGCGGTGTCTGAAAATCTCCACCTCTGTGTTATAATTTTTAAAAGAGAACAAATTGACACTATTCCTTGATGTTTTTGCAGAATTTTCTTCGCACAGAGAAGAAAAATTACAGCAGTTTTAAAGAATTGCCGTTGGGTTAATTCCCGTTAAAAAAATAAAGTATGACATGAAGTCTGCGACGTCACAAACCGAGTTAGGTGATTGCCGACTTACATGGTCGATATGTAAAAATAACAAAATTTTAATGGGACTCACTCTCACAAATTATTGATGATAGGTAATTAGTGCAAAGAGTCCCGTTAAAATTTTGTTATTTAGGTACTTAGGTATACTTAAGATCCGCAAAATATAGAATGGCCACGGAGGAGGATACTGATTCTTGCTGTACTTTCAAAGTGCCTATATTTTAGGTGTGCTATCAGGAAAATGATAAAAATACGTACCGCATTTATTTCTAAACTCCTCTTTTCAATTTTACTCCTCAAGTTTCTTCGGGACTGCAGGGTGTTTTCCTTGAAAAATACTGACAACTCTTTCAATCCTTCCAAAGTGTTCTGAAAAATATATAAAATTGATCAGTCTTCCTTGGCGTATAATATGCAACTGAATGCAAACAAGGGTGGTGTGCATAAAGAAATTCTTACAAAAAGCTCAGTGCTGTAGGTAAAGATCCAACTTAAAAGCAAAGCGATTTCAACTAGCAGGAAATCAAATAAAAAAAACTATGCAATGCTAACATTTGTGACAGTTCCAACTTAGGACATTCTTGGGGAAATCGTTCAGTTTAATCGCTGTGTATAGCAGTAATTGAGGTACTATGAGAAAGATATTTCAGAGAAATTGATGAGTCAACAGGTTGAGCCAATCAAGTCCAAAATAATTATTAGGCCAGAGAATCAAACCTTCCACCAAAATTTGGATCTTTAATGTTATTGCTAGACAGGGCTTTTACTACCAACGAGCAAAAACGCTCCCGATCAAACTTGGCAGGAGTTAAAGACCTCGGAAGGAATAAAGTGCTTTAGTTTACAATGGAAACATTACCTCCTGCTTCATCGCAATTGAAAGGAAATCAAGGCAAAAATTTATGAAAAATGAATCTGTAGATGAAGAAACGTAGGTAAATTACAAACCGTGTCATTTTCCACTCTCGTCTCTAGAATTTTATTCAATCTCTTTGAAACACTACTTGCATCTGATTCACTATCGGTGATTCCTGTCATTTTTCGATGAAAGAGGTTGAAGTCACACTCACTCCTAACTTATTTTAAGCTAACGTGCACAAAACAAACTGATGAGAGAACATTTAATCACTTCATCGGAATAAAAAATGATGAACTGAAAAACGAAAAACTATTAAACTTTGTTTTATTTTCCATGTTCAGTTCTGGTCATAGAGAAAAAAAAGGAGGTGTTTGTATTTCGGGCATCTTGGAATTTTTCATAGAGTATCTATAGCTTTGATGACGTCATTGGGTACAGCGACGTTTTTATCCTGTCGATTTTCTTGGAAATGGTGTAATTTAAGGGAAAAAGTCATTCTATAAAAAGTGCTTGAAATTATATAAAGAGTTGATTTAAGTAAAAAAATCGGACATTATGGTCCGTTTTTACATTGTCAACATAACCCTCAACGAGCGTCTTGTTTACATTGATGACGTAGGTGGGTACAAATCCTCAAGATGCAAACACCTCCTTTTTTTTCTCTATGAGTTCTGGTATTGTGTTCTAACCTCCAAATGTGTTTAGATTAGAGGGACTCTACCTACAGATGGACATAAAATCGTAGGAATGTTGCTATATAATATTTGCCATGCGTATTGCCTACTCCCTCATTTGAAGGCGCGGAAATTATTGCTATATTGTTGCTATGATGTAGCAATAAATTCCGATTATTGGTTGTGTCACCTGTTGCCACTCTGCTAATTGCAAGGCGCAAAAATTATCGCAATAATCTTGCTATAGGAGGGAGGGGAAGTAACCCCTCAGGTGCTCCAGCTGGTGGAGAAGTTAGCAACTACAACTAACAATAAAAAAAAGGAGAGAAAATTTAAAAGTTGCTTCGCTATATGGATGTCTGAGCTTTCGTTACGTTACGCATGCTTCCAGGAGAGGAAAGGGCATTCCAGGCAGGACTTCAGGGCTGCATTCCGTAACGCAAAGCATATGGACCAGAGAAGACATACATACGGCATGGACGCAACGCGTACTACTACATCATGAAATATTTCTCATGAAATTTTTAAGATTTGTTTTTCATGAAGAAATGAAACATTTGAAATATTTGATTAAAATTCACGAGACTGTGAAATATTTGATGAAATTTTAAGAGACTGTGAAATATTTGATGAAATTTCACGAGGCTGTGAAATATTTCATATTTTTCAGGGGCCAGAGTATGCAACCCGCACTCAAACGCACAAAAATAGAAGAATGTCACAATTTTTACATTTTGCGAAACATGACAAAGAACCGTCATTTTTCAATATCTTTCATAAATTTCTGAAATTTCATGAAATATTTCTCATGAAATTTCAAGATTTGTTTTTCATGAAATTTTGCCACCCTGGTTCGGCCACGAAACTAGGTACACTGTCTCGTGTCGTCAAAGTATCATGAAAGGTGTAGTCGGTTAATTCCAAAGGTTAATTCACAATTAACGACACCTTTCTTATGGTGGAATGATTTCATCGACTGATAATTTTTTCTACTAAATGGAGTAAAAATGTGAATGGTACTTTTTTTCGTAAGACCCGACTGTTTTCTGTCGACTCTGTCCCTCTCTTTGACTTTCTTATCATGCGATCATTCATCTTCTGTATTTTACGAATTCGTAGAATTTTGTAACAACGCTTTATTTTGCCGGTAAAATCTGTGGTTATATGGAATGTTTCTATTCGTATGAAGGGCTATTCAGAAAATGCTTTACACTCTAGGGCGAGGGGGATGTCTGAGCCTGCGTTACGCGTGCTTTCAGGAGAGGAAGGGGCATTCAAGGCAGGACTTCAGGGCTGCATTCCGTAACGCAAAGCATGGACGCAACGCGTACTACTACCTAATTTTTTTAAAAATTCATTGATGGAAAACTACGTATGTGCTCTTTTTTCCGATGTTGCAGGAACGGATTCTCCGTATTCTAACGATGCGTATATCCTTGGTCAAATTGCGAAACCACGTAATTCTATTGCGGCGTTTCAACATGTCAGTTCCGATTTTATTTTTTCGAAGAGAAGCAAGCCATTTTTTAGGTCGAAATTTTTACAGAATATTATGCTAACCGCGGAGAAAAATCAAGGAAGTCTCCATCAAATTACGCTCGCTGGTTTTTCGAAGAAAAAATAGGTATGAAGGGAAGTTTACAGGGTCGCAAAGGAGAAAAGTGGTTTCTCACTTTGGCTATCGATATGCCTCGAGTTAGCGTTTTATTAACCGACTTTTGGAACCGAGAGACCATTAAGTCTCGTGTGGCTGAGTCAGGGGTCATAAGCTATTTCCGGAAAAAGGGCCAACAGCGCAAGTGCAATTTTTCTGGGAAGAAAGCCGCTGAGCCAATTTCTGTGTCCACCCTTGTGTAAGTAAGTACTGCTGTAATGGTAGGTACCTAGCAGTAGTTGATTTAGCGATGTAGCCGCAAATCGCCGCCGGTTCGAAATGTATCTCAATGTATCTCATCTATCCGCCTCTGAGAACGACCGCGGCGCGCTCCGTGGGATTTGACCTATAAAACTGGCCATAATTTTAGGTCTACTAACGAAAATCGTTGAGTTTGACGAAGTCTTTACAATCGTTACTTCTTTTGATGATTTGAGGTGACAATGTGTGAAGTTCAACCGCCCAAAACATCTTCTGACGATTTAAGGAGGGTTCAAAAATGTTGAAAGCTCCCCTTAAAGAATCCAACGACCGCATTGACTCAGATTTGTCCGTCAACGCAAACATAGCCTTAAATGTATCCAATTTACGTAATTTTATAAGTTAAAAGTAGTGAGATAAAGTAAAATTACACTTTACAGCCATCTACATTCTTATGCTGGGGACGATATTTTTATGCTTCATAGCTCAGATGATAGCCAGATGAACAGGTGGCCTTATATGCTAACAGATGATACGAGTTGAGTATGAATAATTAAAATCATGTTAATTAACATGATTTTAATTATTATTCATATTCGTGAAAATGCCTTGGCAAGTCTAACTTTCAAAGGGAAAAATCTTAACTTCCGAACTTTTCCGATGTCTGCCACCTTCGGAACCACGAAGTAAAGACTTCGCTTTTTAGTTGGTCGAGCAAAGTTATTGGGCAAAAAGCAAAAAATGCCTCTAAATATGAGGGGAAAGTGTATTTATAATTCATTCTCCTCTTAAAAGCACTAAAAAAGGAAACTTAGGGATGCACTGTGGTTAACACATCAAAATAATTGTGGTGAAACAGGCAACTCTGTGGCCTCGACGCGGGAGATTCCGCTACTAGAAAAAATAGCATATACAATTAAAACGATTCCAGGGTAAAGAATAGTGCAGATTCCAATTATTACATCCGTTTTCAGAAGAAAATCGTTAATAAAATGTGTTGTTTGGCTCAGCATTTTGGACAAATATCACAGCGTGCGCCGCGACGGTATGTGTAGGTAGATGGAGCGCAGTCTTAACGGACGGTCGGGGAAAACTTTTGACACCGAAGATTTTTCTTCCTTTCCAGTTTTTACTATTCAGAAGAGATTCATGAACTTTGCTTTTGTTTAGAAACTCGCTCATTTTCCAGCTTTAGAATTCCTCATACTACCAGTGGGTCGTTAATCATTCTAGGGTGTATGGATGGACCTCGATCCGAGTGTCCAAGTACCGATGTAAATCGGTACCGTCAGAGGCCAGAAAGTAATTCTATGCGCTTTTCTTACAACGCGATTTTTCCGTATAGTCTCTCCACTGCTCCTGAGACGACTCA